CATTTATATACAATAAACTCATTATAATTTGAGAAATAAAAGCATTGCAATTATGTTCATTCTTTATGGGATGTCGTCTGCTTGGGCAGGGTTGGTTCATATTGTGACGGCATTAAAACATCGTAATTTTTCCGGCGAATCTCTCGCATATCCCAGATGCTATGGAGGTTGTTTCATTTGTATTTTTATAAATCACCCGATATGTAGTTGACCTAAAACTTGCATGATGGCCATCTGTTAGCTTATCAGTTTCTAAGTAATACGCTATTTGCCATATTTGTGATTTTCTATGAATCCGCACTTTAAGTATATTAAACAAAAACATAGCATATGAGATAGGTGATATAAAATAGGTCATAATTTTTATTTAAGGACAAATTTCTGATCGATAATACCTTTCTCTGTCGTAATATATTCTCTAAACTCTCCCCCCCCCCCGCCCGCCCCCACCACGCCCTCTCTCTCTCTCTCTCTCTCTCTCTCCTCCCTCTCTCTACCTCTCTCTCATTATCTCCTGTCTCCCTTTATCTCCCACTGTCTCTTAATCTATCTCTCTTTCTCATCTCACTGTGTCCACATATTTCATAACGATCATAATGATCTAGATTTCATAGGAAAACAAAAAAATGTATAATGTTGGTATTATATTACTTTAATTGTATGATCAAAACATTATAACACATTGCACTCCAAACTTATGATAACCATAAACAAAAACAACTATTTGCAACAAACTAGACAGAGAAAAATGAGGGAAAAAACGAAATTGGGGAAGACAACAGAAAGTAGAAAGAGGAAGAAGGGGAATCTGAATGCCATTTCATTTGCCCATAGTTTAATGATCTTTTCAATGATGTTTGTTGATGCTTAAACAACATAACATGTAAACACTTGGATTACTTACCTGTAGAATTCGTCTGTTAATTTCTCTCTTGTTAACTATTGCATGCAAGGGTGTCGATTTGTATCCTCGGTTGGGGGGGGGAGGGGATGAAAGGTGCCAAAATATTTTCGGCAATGGATCAAAGCAACCAAGAGGTAGAAGCGTGTGGCAGGTTGCACCCCTCCCTTCCAAGTTATTAACTTTTTCAAAACATCCTCAATAAAGATAACATTTCAGAGAATATGGGACCCATTTGGGTCCCACATGGGCTTGCTACCTGGGTTATTATCCTCTCAAGCATATAGGCAGGATTTTATTTTAGGGGGGCGGGCGGTAGTGAGCACCTCCTAGGGGGTGGGTGCACCCCCCTCCCGCGCGAAGCGCGGAAGCTCTGACGTTTCATTGAATTATTAAAGAAGACGATTCGTTGTACCATTCTCGACTCTTAATCCTTGTATGAATTCAGTTTCCCCCCCCTTCCCGCGCGAAGCTCTGACGTTTCATTAAATTATTTAAGAAAAAAGACGATTCGTTGTACCATTCTCGACTCTTAATCCTTGTATGAATTCAGTTCACCCCCCCCCCCTTCCCGCGCGAAGCTCTGATGTTTCATTAAATTATTTAAGAAAAAAAACGATTCGTTGTACCATTCTCGACTCTTAATCCTTGTATGAATTCAGTCCCCCCCCCCTTCCCACGCGAAGCGCGGAAGCTCTGACGTTTCATTAAATTATTTAAGAAAGAAGACGATTCGTTAATGTACCATTCTCGACTCTTAATCCTTGTCTGAATTCACCCTCAATAAAGATAACATTTCAGAGAATATGGGACCCATGTGGGTCCCACATGGGCTCGCTACCTGGGTTATTATCCTCTCAAGCATATAGGCAAGATTTTATTTTAGGGGGCAGTAGTGAGCACCTCCTAGGAGGTGGGTGCAGGGAGGGGTAGTTCCCCTTCCGCGCGAAGCGCGGAAGCTCTGACGTTTCATTGAATTATTAAAGAAAGAAGACGATTCGTTGTACCATTCTCGACTCTTAATCCTTGTCTGAATTCAGTTCCCCCCCCCCCCCCCTTCCCGCGCGAAGCGCGGAAGCTTTGACGTTTCATTAAATTATTAGAAAAAGAAGACGATTCGTTGTACCATTCTCGACTCTCAATCCTTGTCTGAATTCAGTTTTTCCCCCCCCTTCCCGCGCGAAGCGCGGAAGCTTTGACGTTTCATTAAATTATTAGAGAAAGAAGACGATTCGTTGTACCATTCTCGACTCTTAATCCTTACTGATTTCAGTCCCCCTCCCCCCCCCCCCACTTCCTGCGCGAAGCGCGGAAGCCTTCACGTTTCATGAAATTATTAGAGAAAGAAGACGATTCATTGTACCGTTCTCGACTCTTAATCCTTTTCTTCCTACGTCCTCTTCCTTTCTTCTTTCTCTCTTTTTTTTTTGGGGGGGGGGGGGCGACCGCCCCCATCACCCCTGGCTACGCGCCTGTATCCTCTCTGTCTCTCATTATCTCTCTCTCCCACTATCTTCTTCTTTTTTTGCACTTTTGCGCTTCGCGCTTAACATTTACTAAGCTCGTTGATTTTTAACGCTGCGGCTTTGCATTTGGCGCACTGCATTTCTGTTGATTGAATAAATTGAATAAATTCATCAATTTCCGATGTAGCCGTATGAGCGAGAATTCAATTTGTTCTTGTCTCATATACGGTCGACTCATTTACTTCGTTTTCTATTTATATATATATATGTATGTATTATGAAAATGGGATAGCAAAATGTGTATATTGATGGTATTCTTGCGAGTAATAACCATTAACTACTCTCATCGGGCTCTCATCATTAATTTTCTCTTATTTTTTTAATTTTTTATGGTGAATTATTGGGGGGGGGATGATTGTACCGGCCATCCCCCCCCCCCCCCCCCTGAAATATTCGGGGGATATATACCCCCCGTTCCCCCCGGGATCGACACCCATGATTGCATGTTTTCCAATAAGAGAAATGCATGTCTTCAGAGTCTTCCAGACTGGCCCGAATTCACAAAGGAGGTTTGTCGACAAACCTTGGTTTTCGTACGTCATATGACGCGTTTTACGCGTTTTTTACAAACCTGGTTTGTAAAGAACAAAAGGAGGTTTGGCGAAACAAAAGGAGGTTTGAGCTTTGTGAATTCGGGCCATAGATTATGGAAATTTTGCCAACTCGGTTCGAGCGGGGCAATTATGCAAAATATTGGTTTGATGGGCAAGCACAAACAAATGAATATAAGCCAAGCTGTGACCAATAGGCCATTTTTGTAATGTAATCAAATTTGATGCACAGATTTTTAAGTGCCTCGTTATAAATTATTTCTTTCACCTGTTACGAATAATTGTACATGTATTTCAATAGTAAGAATGCGAATCGCATACATTACGTGTTGTTTGGTAGGACAAGCCATAATATCGCTTAAAATCATGGAAATACGTGTGCAGTTGTGGAGTACATTATGAATATTGACGTATATGAAGTTTTCAATAGGAAATTAGAAGTGGTTTACAAGAGAAACCTGTAAATTTGGCTGAAACACAATGATTTTAAACTCCATTTAAAAACTTATCCTATCCATTTCCAAGGAATAGAAGGTAACAATATGCCCTTTCAAAGTTTGGCATGTCCAGATGTATGTCCACCAGTGTCACTTTTTTAATGATCAATCTAATATCACACAAATTGTCATGATGTGGGGTTCACTGCTCCTCTAACTGGTCTTAAATCACGATACTTTTCTTGAAAGTACACGCTTGGCCCTGGCCCAGCGAAAAGAATCTGAAGAAATATAAAAGGTTCTTTTGTCTGCGATGATGCGTGATTACATAATCAACATTGTCGCGTCAAATGAATGTCCTCATCAACATACACATTTTCAGGTGGCGGTGGTCATGATGTGATCAAAGAAAGACTCTCATTATCAGTCCCTCTGTAGTAGGGTCCATGGTACGTCCCACTAAGCAGCAATTAATGTTATTCAATTCGCATTCTGACCATTGAAATGCAATTATTCGTACCAGGGTAAATGAAATAATTTGTAACAAGGCACTTACATATATGTGCACAATTTAATTACATTATGAAAATGGTCTATTGGAACCAAGTTGGCTAACCTCTACGTGTATATAGATGGCTCTGCGCGAAACAAGTGAATAGCGCCAACATCGGCTATCCTTTGCAAGTCACATACCATTTATGAAAGAACTCCACATTGCCCTGGAATTTTTACAGACTGTTTAAAGGAAAAATATGCAAAGGTGAACACATCTTTTAGACATGATGCTGTTGCAGAAGGAATGTGCACACCTAGATGTTTTAATAAGCCTGTCATAATTTTCGGCGCAGCTCTCCCTCTTGTGCTGTCGTACAAGCGCATGCGTGCATGTGCACCTGGAGGTATCAATACATCTATCTCTGCCTCTTACCAACCACCACCCCCCCCCCCCCTCATCAATTCCTCCTCTACCTCTGTCTGTCTGTCTTTCTCTTTCTCTTTCCGACACCGGGTATGGTGGCTCAATGGTTAGAGCGTCCGCCTCATGAACGGGAGGTCGTGGGTTCGATCCCCGGCCGAGTCATACCAAAGACTTATAACAATGGGACCTTCTGCCTTCTAGCTAGGCGCTCAGCATATTAGATTGGAGAAGGGTAATAGTAACATGTTATGTTATGCAGGGCCCGCTGGGAGAGCAGTTTTATAACTGAAGTGGCTACCCTGGGTAAATAAAACGTTATTATTATTTTTTATTATTCTCTCTCTTTCTCTCTCTCTCTCTCTCTCTCTCTCTCTCTTCCTGTCGCTCCTCTCTCGTTCTGTCTCTGTCTGTCTTTCTTTTTTTCTCTCTCTTCTCCCTTCCTCCCTCTCTCTCTCTCTCTCTCTCTCCCCTTCCCCTCTCTCTCTCTCCCTCTCTCTCTGTCGCTTATCTCTCTTTCTCTCTCTCTCTCTCTCTCTCTCTCTCTCTATATATATATATATATATATCTCTCTCTCTGTATTTATTAACTGCAAATTTACCCACAAGTAAGGAGAACTGAAACATGAAATCACACGGTTGTATTTATGGAAAAACACTTCATGTATTTATTCATTTACATTTTAGCCGATCATTGTGTATGTATAAATGTTCCATCGCCTGCGCCCCTTTCACACCTCTTCTGATGTAAAATATATTTTCCTGATAATTTTCTTTACATTCGTTAACATGTTCGCCTAATACCACACATTCAAAATGGCCAGGCGATAGCTTAGAGAATTTGTGCAATTGGTTAACAAATGGTTCAAACCTTTATCTCCTCTTCAAGTATCAGTAATATTTCATGTAAATCACATTTTTTATAATAATAGTGATATCATTGGTGGAATATACGCAATTTCAACATTGATTAAAGTACAGCAATAGATAACATGGAAGAAACATTTATCTCTTCTTTACAACAGAAATATAGGCCATCAAAAATCCATTTACCTTGAACCCATTGAAAAAGCAAGTTTCAGGCATTTTGATAACAATGTGAATTTATAAAGAGCAGGAACTATGTAAATATACAATGTCTTTTATTCAGCATGACAAAACAATTGCTTGGCTCTTTTCTGCTTCTTATTGAGTAGCGTCGTAAACAGACCTGATTAGTTTAGATCTATCTATATCCCGTATCAATATTAACTTGCAAGTAATACACTATAGTTGAATACACATCAAGAGCGAATATTTCATAACGAACAAAAATATTGAATAACACCCGATCGCAAAAACTTTCAATTAATCAACTAAGTCACAATTTTAATGTCTGATTATATCGTCTATACAAACCATGGTCTAATTATGTAATACTGTCATTGTCATGTTCGCACATTTTAACCCGTTGACTACTGAATTCACTCATTCCCATAGAGTTAACACAGTGACCACCCAGCTCCCGTAGCCAAAGGGTTAAAAGGTGACGCACCGGCCGGCCTTATGAATGTGGTTTAGGTTTGATTTCTTGAAAGTCTTTGAGATCGTGTTAATGGAAATGTTACATAATACAAATTATACAGACCGTATAATGAACATTTAAGAAAATTGTGTGCCGTGGAGTACAGTAATATATCATATTTTGAATGCTGTTAAAGGTCGAGCAATGAAAGAAGCTATGTGAAAAAAGCACATGGAGTATCTTGCTTCAAATGACACCGTTCTGCAACTGGAATTTGTCAGTAAGATTACAAAAACAGATAGAAATTTAGTTGAATTACGGGAGGTATTTATTGTAATAAAACAGTATAGTACATTCTATAACAAATATTCACAAATTATTAATTACCGTAGAAACGGGAAGGACGTGGTTAACGCAAATAAAATTACAGATGCGTATCGTCCATAAACAGATTTTAAATCACTAGAAATCATAAGAGTCGGATATGTTGCCTCAGATGGCGCTATACATCTTATATGAAGAGATCCTATAGTATATAGTATTAGAATCACAGGATGATCTCTGTGATCTAAAGAAGTAGTGTAGTAGCTATTTCTTGCTGTTGCAATAAATGAATAAATAAATACATAAATAAATAATTCGATTGACGAATAAATAAAAACGGGTAATTTAGCAATCGTATCTGGCGCTCTTCAGAAAACAAATTGAATTTATTTTAAGTCAGCTCAGCTATCCCCTTGGTGTTCTCCGCTGAGAGCAATACAGCGAATAACTTGATGTACTCCTTGTCCTCCATGTTGTGGCTAGCGCCATCGATACCTGCATTCCAGAATAGAAGAAATATAAACCTATGAAATACTTCCAGGTACAGCAATAGAATGGACTAAATAATGTGATCCTAATCATTGTTCATGCGGTATAAACACTAAATCAAAGTTTTCTTTAAAGGCCCACTGCACTACTGGTAGCTACTTGCGCCCTCTATATAACAAACAATGCCTAATCGGTGACCATTGGTCCCCCATGATCCTCTTTTTCATATGTCAACTGAGAGCTGAGTTGATGAGATAACCACCTGTCCAGTGACCTTGCAGGGCAGTCTAATCCCTCCTGTAAACTACGGTAGATAAGCTTTAAGTCCACTAGCAAATGTTTCAATTGCACTTTTTTTTTAAAGAAACCTCAAAAAGTGACAGAAGAACGGAATGACGAAAAATAATGATTTAGATTTGGATCTAGAATTTTTAATCATCTCTAATTAGTATAATTATTTACTTAACAAAGGGCAACTCTTGCCTTAACATAGCTTACTTTCATACAGGCTTACAAATAAAAGAAACATATTAAAACTTTTTTTAAATATCAGTCAAATTATAAAAACTTATCGAATTCTAAAATTATGAACATCCTCTTTATTCAATATTTTACATAATTATTTCCCTTCAGAACAATTTAGGCGAGGCGAATTCCCGTGCATCACAAAATAGGAGAATAGAATAAAATGTTATGGTCAAGGGAATCAGTCATTCTTATTTTTATTTTTCTTACGATGTAATGAGGATTTTGCAAAATAATAAAAAATCAAATACCCTTAAATGAGCCGATGCTCAGGATCATCCACTCCATGAATCCGATGTTTCTGACTTTTCCTTGACTTTGCTTCATCAGTTCAAGTGTGTGCATGTAGCAAGTGTAAAGAGCGCCCTCCTAATAAAAGTGGACGAAGAGAGAAAAAAAATCGACACTCGTTCAGCGTGCTGCATGCGATGAATATATTGCCATTGTTCAATTCATATCGCATTTTCTCCTTCGTTAAAATTATCAATAGTTATACAAAATTAGCAGAATTTCTGAAAGATTCATTAGTGATTGTTTTTTAATATGCTAATAATGTGTTTAAATATTTATGTTTTGATAATCAATATTGCTCCGCAATTTCTTTGAAACCGTAAAAAGTCAAAACATGTTTATTTTTTGTAGCGGATATTGAACAAAATTAATGTACCTCTGAAGTTGAAAATCAACGACTTGTCAGCTCGAATATGTGTTTACACGTTTCATGTTGCTTATTTGTCTATAATTATAAAAGTATTCCATAAAGGAAAGTCTTATAAAGAGAACATGAATACACTATCTTACCAGTTTCCATGTTCATGTTCTTCAATCCAAATTTCACCCACATCAAGCCCATCGAAGTCGTCTCTTCTCAATCTCGCTCGTCGAAGCTCTGGAAGTCTAGCATGGTTGTCATCTCGTCGAAGCATCTGGACTTCTTGCCTTTCCCCCATCTTGCTCGTATAAGTCTTTGGAAATCTTGCCCGTTCTTCACCTCGTAAAACCGCTTGGTCTAACATTCTGCTCTTCTCTCTTGGTTAGGCCTCTGGAAAGTTCTCTGGTATTATTTTGTTTTTATGGTAATAACTTAAAGTAGAAGTAGTAGCAATAATAGATATATTAGTATACAAATGATGCACAGGTTTGAGTGCATCGGTAGGGATTGTGTGCACAGGGTACCTTTGAATGGTTTTAGACCAAATTCAAAGGTACCGCGTGCACACACAATTCCACCGACCCACGAATTAAACCTGTGCATCATCTGTTTTATAAGATGGGGCCCCAAAAATTGTCAAAAATACAAAATTTTGTTATTTTACAGATTTACCGGATGCATGGCAAAATCATGCGTCCGGTGATTTTTTTTACCGGACGCACGATTTTTAACTTATCATGAAATTAAAAAATTAAAAAAATTGTCAGTGAACATTTAACTGTAAACTTAAAAAAAAAAAAATTATGAAGTATAGATTTTTTAAATTTTTTTAAACAGATTATAATTATCAAAAAACACGAAAAAAAAAAATAATTATCACCAACAAAAAATTATATAAAAAAAAAAAATAATAAAATTAAAAAAATTTTAAAAAGGAGAATTATTTAAATTAAAAAAAAGGATATCCGTGGCATCGATCGCCGATATCGCGTGGATCCAGTAAAAATGATAATTGATTTTCAGATTGCAGGGATTCTTCTACCCATCTTATTATTGTTGATGTTACTGCTGTTGTTGCTGTTGGTGTTGTTGCTGTTGTTTTAACTTATTATTTGGGACTTGTCATGGGCAAATAGGTCATATTCGTAATGTGATCAAATGTATGCACAAATCTTTGTTAAGCGCCTCTTAACAAATTATTTCATTCACCTATTACGAATTACTGTATTTCAATAGTCAGAATGCGAATTACATGCATTACGTGTTGTTAGATAGGACATGCCATAATGTTTGTCCTATCTACTAACAATTGATGTATGCAATTCGCATTCTGACTTTTGTAATGAAATTGTTCGTAACAGGTGAATAAAATCATTTGTATCGAGGCATTTGATGAATATATGTGCATTGAATTTGATTACAATACGAAAAAAAGTATATTGTCCCTATGTATGCAAGAACTCATCAGTAACATAAGATCGTTGTCATTTCTGGAAAAAAATGAGTATTTTGATAATACTTGAACAAGAATGAACATCGATATCATACATAAAATACGTTTCTTTTCTTCTTTCTTTCTTTTTTTTCCAAAGAAAAAAATTCCCTCACCTTGGTATCTATCAGGGTGCATCATCCACGTTGAGAACCCCATCAGCTCGATCCGGAGTGACGAACACCTGTGCATCGGAACAGCATTCCACTGCATTCCATCAAATGACAAACCTAACCTAAAGCTGGAATTGTAATGTCATCATTGGAGAAAATAGCTTCATGACGTCATACTTTCTGTTTTTATAGTGTTATATTCCTTACCATTTATTCCATCCAAGACCACAATCAAGTAGGATGATAACGGTGTGTTTTTCACTTGTTCTTTACAGTTCGTCCTACTTTTAAGACGGTGGTGGACTTCACGGCCTTTAGTCTTGACCCTTCCGTTACCTAACCTAGAGCTGTAAGGGTAAATGTTAGCATGATTCAGATAAATATCACCGCTGATATAAGAATTTGGCTGATCTTTGAATCGATTTTCTCCACTTACCTCCTTGTACAATGCACGCTATCCGACGTAGGGATATATGGGGTGTCTGCATGGTTCCATCCTTCCTTCAGAGTTCAACCGACTCTCTTAAGATGGTGGTCTTCACTGCTTTTCTGCACCCTTACGTGACCTAACCTAAAGCTGTAACGAGAATTTTAGCAAATCGGTTCACCCAAATATCCCGGTTAATTCTTTGATCAACTATTTTCTTCTTCCACTTACTTGATGATACCCGACAAAGAGGTCTGGTGAGGGCTTTGGTCAGGAACTAGAACTTCCATGATCCTTGTTGGTGATAACTTGCTACTTCATAGATCGACTGCAGTGTACTTGGTAGGATCTTTGCCAAGGTACTTCGGAATCCTCTCCTCTGCATGGTCACCGTGTACCTAACCTAATTTTGTATCGATTATTACTGTTGAATCGCCTGTGGCTTGGTTTATTTAAAAAAAATAGGATTTATTAGTTGTTTCTTACCTGAGCAGTTCACTGATGACATCGTAGACCTTCTTCTCCAACGTAGACTTATGCTTTCCCTGATCTAGACCTTGGGCCTGTATCCCCTACTCGGCCGTGATGAGAAGCGGGTTTCTTGGTTCCTTACACTTGTGATCTAGACTACCTTTGATGTACGTGACACGCAGCGTTACCAAGACCTAATCTGTATCAAAGGTTAGTGAAGGGAATTCTTGGGGCCGTGAATAAGAATTGAATTACTCTCATTCACCATGAAACCTCATTGCCATTATTTTGAGGGTACAAACTAAAAAATATTGCTGGTGGTAGGTTATGCTCCCTATCAGAGCAAAAAAAGATTGAGTAGAATAGAATTTAACAAAAGTAGAAGTGCACCTCTACATGGCTGTTCCTTGCATGATATAATCGTATCTCCTTCTCCCTGAGTCTCGAACTTGAATTCGGGTGAGGGCGCCTCTCCTTTCTTGAATTCGACGCAAAGGAAGTTATATTCACCACATCCAACCTCGTTGATTGGAAATGGAAATTCGACATCGTCCAAGTTGAGAGGTCCACCTTCATCAAGAGGTGTTGACTCGTCTAAAGGATCAAGTATCTGGGTCAATTCATCTTTACGGGGTCCGGAACCCTCAGGATTCTTTGCGGCGAAGACACCTAACTGCCACAAACCGTCTCCGTCAACATTGGGACTGTCGGGTTCAAACAGTACGTCTGCGTCGATGGTCAGAGGGGCCGGATCTTCGAACGGTGCATCCCCAATATCAAAATCCCATTCAACATCGATGGCAGTGGCACCTAAACACGAAAATCAAAAGATAGATTGAGAATTTAAAGTAAATATATCATTACGATTTCTCCAGATTAAATGATAGGTGAGGGAAACTCATCAGTTGTAAAAGAATATTATCTGTTTATAACTTTCCTCCGCACAATTTTGTAAAAAAGTTGTTTCTTATGCACGAAAAAAGTGCCATATAATGCTTAAAAGTAAGTTTTTTCACGATATTTCAGAAAATCGTTCTTATTTCATTTTACCTTTGCAACGGTCGCGGAAATCGACGCAAGTTGTCGTAGCAGCTTCATTTGGACGGGACTCGTAGTAGAAGTTAACAGAGGCGTCTGGATTTTTATCAAGATCGAAGCAGAGGTATGGCACATCCTCGCACCTCAGCCCCGTCATGTCAAAGTCGAAATCGACATCCTCCATTGGGAGATTCTCTCCCTCGTTGAGATCGTTAGCGGCTGTAAACGGATCAAGGATCTGATCAACTAATCCGACCTTGGTTCCACTGCCTTCGGGATTTTGGCTGGCGTATGCGGAAACCTTCCACAATTCGTCACCTATGACATTGGTGGAGTCATCTGCTGTGATTCCGCTCAAGTCAACGTTGAGAAAATTGTTCTTGTTCTCGACGAGCTCTTGGTCACCAAGATCAACGTCGAGGTCTGTAAATATGGCCCCTGTTACCGAAAGACAAAACAGAACAGAATGAAAAGGAGTTCGCATTTCCAGTTGAATAATGAATATCTATATGTTATTGTTATATATTCGGCTGCAATTTATCCCCAAATTCACTTAGAAGCAAAAACAAATAGTTTAAGAATTTAAGGGTGCCTTTTTTCAAATGTTACATGACAAAGACCTACCTGAATTAAGGGAACAAAAATGTGGGCGGCTTTTTTGTTTAACGATGTTTTCCAGTATGGAATTGGATGTGGACGCGTATCTCTTGCCTCCTGTCCCCTCCCACGATCTGATAAGAAGAAGTAGTAGTAGTAGTAGCAGCCGCAGCGACACTTTATTGTCTGTTTATTTTAGTCAATTAACTGTTTAAGATATACTCCAAAAAGACCAGATAGGAATATCATATGGAACCTTCTTACAGAACCCTATTTATTCACGCACTATTTTTTATAATTAACCACTCTCTCTCTGCTCTCAAGGAAATATGTTCAGTGAATGCATGCAAGCTTACTGGCTAAACATTCCTGTTCCTTGCACGTCACGAGGGTGTTTTCCTCGGGATAGGCATTGGCGGATCCCACTACTCTGAAATAGTACAGTGGGTCTGGATCGTCACCTCCGGTAAACTCTACGCAAACATAGCCAAAGTCATTACATCCGACGGTGCCAATTTCAAATGTGGTTGTTGCCTCGGGGACGTCTAACATGCCACTGTCCCTTTCCAAGGTGATGCCTTGCTGAGGCCTATCAAGGATTTGCTCTCGATAGTTGAATCTTTCTCCACTGCCATCGGGGTTTCTGCTTCCGAACAGCCCTTTCTTCCAGAGGCCAGTGCCAGCGACTTCGCGGTTGTCATCCTCAAAGATGACAGTGCTATCAATACTTACGCCGGTTTCTTGACCGGGTAAGACTCTGTCCGTTGGTGTTAAGTCCCAATCCAGAGACTCGGCCCATACATCTGTGCGACAGAGAGCAGAATTCAGTGTCATGTATTGTCAACATACTCTCTTTATATCCATGTCAAGGTTAAAAAGTTTCCTCGCGGGCAAACTTTCGTTCCTTCTTCTCATGTAACATAGTTGATTAGCACTAGAGAATAATGGTGACAACATTGACTTAGACATTAAAGAAGGAATACGCGCTAGTGCACGATTATATTATTCAAGAGTCCATCACATAACTTGACGATCCTCAGTAACGTCTGATGAAAAGGAACAAGAAAGAAGTTGGAGAATTCAGACTTACTTGAAAGGCACTCTTGCTCACGGCAACTGGTTAAGGTGTTAGCCTCTTTGGACGCATCAACTGCATCTTCTACTCTGAAGAAGAAGTTGGGTATCGGGTTTTCAGCTCCCGTAAATTCAACGCAAATATAACCGTATTCATTGCAACCGATGGAGCCCATTTCAAAGTCGGTCTCTACGGCCTGGAATTCAAGCGGTGCGTCGGGATTCAGCGTAGTCCCTTGCTGCGGTCGGTTCAATGTCTGAGACACGTAGCTGAAGCGGTCCCCGGTGCCTTGTTCGTTCCGGCTGCCGAAGAGCCCCATGCGCCAAAGACCATCTCCTGAGAGTAGGGGGTTGTTCTCTCGGAAGGTAATATAGTTATCGAGGCTGACTGTCGTCTGTTCACCGGGGATGACCGTCTCAACGGGTTCTATAGTCCAGTCCATCTCCTGGGCAACGATGCCTACACAAAGATATAAACATCTTATCAAAAACACATCTAGAACGGGCGTTTGTAGCATGGTCTATATAATTCCATATCGCTACTAAACTATATTTACGACACCACTGGCTATAATCGACTGTTCATCAGGTTTTAACGAGATTTCTATTTCATTGAAATCACTTCTATCATTTGGGGGGGGGGGGAGATATATCATTATGCATATTTTTCGTTACATGCAGCAAAACGTGGAAAGAGAGTAGTTTCCAGTTTCCTTACCTTGGACACAGTTAGAATTAAGTTGGAGAGCTCATCAAAAGTGTACGACATGTCATTGTGTCTTTAAAGTTGGACGGCTTGACGGTAGACATATTGGTGGGTTTATCATAGTCATAAAATGTGCCCGGTGTAAAACTTAACCGTCGTCATGTTATTCGTATATTTAATTTCGTAACTGATGTCTCCGCCGTCAAATTCTGTGATTATCGAAGATTTTAGCCTGTAATTTTTGCGTTTAATATAATATATATTGTTGCTCATTACGATTTTTTAGGCGTTGTAATGTCAAAGTTGTCTCTGATTTATAATCAGTAACAGAAAACACAAGTTTTGCGAGCAAATTTGTTTCTCTTTACCAAATAATGAACGACCGTCACCAAATTGGTCCGACGAATTTAGTAACAGGATTAATCCGCCAAGAAACTGTGTCTGTTGCCACACCGGCGTAAAGACAGTAGGCTAAAGACCCCCCTATCATACTATCAAACTGCGATCCATTTTATTGATGGTATTGCAGTATCAATCAGATATTAGATAGGTGTACAAAAGTATTTACCTATGCATTCTGGAGACGCAGTACAGCCCGTGAGAACACTTTCATCCGGATAACCTGAGAATTGAAAGTCCAGGTTTGCTTTGGCAACGGGATTATCTCCTCGGTCGATGCGAACACATATGTACTTCATGTCCTCGCATTCAGCCATAGGGTCACTGAATTCAAAATTGATGGGCGCGAAATTAAATTTCTCCTTCTTTTTGTAATACTGATCCATCTGATTGTCGTCCAGAACGTTTCTGTCGAAGCCATATCTAAGAAAATATGAAAGATAAGTTCATGGTGATAATTAAGTTTTTTTTAACAAATCCATTTTTCAAATTCCATATGAACTGTTTCTATTTAACTAACAATTTAAGCCTCCTTTGTGGATATTGTCATTTCTGTTCAATGATTTAGACATTGTAGAAGATTACAGTATAATTTTATATTTTTAATCGCAGAACATTTACATCAATATTTCAAGAGATATTGTGTTTTTGAACAATGGAAATGGCGAGAGAGGATTCATTTTCACCACCACCCCTTTCTTCGGATTTTCTCAAACCGTCAAATTGTCCCCTTCGAATTCAACCCACCCTCCACTCCCCTCAGTTCTTATAATATCACATGTCTCACTTTGTCCCTCTGCCGTCAGGTGTTGATGATGCCCATGCACTGAGAATCCACAAGTCCTCACCGCTCACACCCGTTGTATCCATGGCTTCTTGGAACTTGATGGGCACATTGAGAGAGACACTGTTGTCCCCACCCTCTGCTATGGTGTTGGTACTGGTAATCTCTGGTAGAACCTTCTTCGCCTTGACATCTAGAGGGAGAGAAAAAATGTTTTATCTATCAAACTGAGCAATAGCCTAGTAAGTACCAGCAAACATCATGAACGCCGTTCTCCTTGCAAGTAAATGATTTCCCACGCTATAGCTTAGACACTTCGGTGGTAAGCGCTTTATAAGCACCGTTTTTATTAATATTATTAAATATGAATCCTTTATTTTCTTCATAAAGTATTTGCTTGACTTGTGCTAGCTTCTTTCATGGTACTTACTCCATTTACTGGACTTTTATTTTTCATAAAAGATCGGCAGACATCTTCTCTGATTGCCTCATTTCCTCTTTGAATTTATATTTGGAAAGCTTAAAATGTCAAAATATTAATCCACATTTGCCACTCTCCACCCAGGTGTAAAGGGGTACCTGACAATCGCTGGAGTATTAATAAGAACAAGGCCACTACAAGGACAGCACTGATGCTGATGAGGCTTCCTTAGGTCAACAAAATTATTATTATTGTCGTCATTATTGTTATCATTAGTAGAAGAAGTATTGTTATCATTATCATAATAATATCATTGTTAGTAGTAGTACGAGTAGAAGTAGTAGTAGTAGTAGTAGTAGTAGTAGTATTAATAGTACTTGTAATAGTCGTGGTAATAGTAGTAGTAGTAGTATTAGTAGAAGTAGTAGTAGTAGTAGTAGTAGTAGTAGTAGTAGTAGTAGTAGAAGTAGTAGTAGTAGTAGTAGTAGTAGTAGTATTAGAAGTAGTAGTATTAGTATTAGTAGTAGTAGTAGTAGTAGTAGTAGTAATAATATTGTTATCAGTCATGTTAGTAGTAGTAGTAATAGTAGTAGTAGTAGTAGTAGTATTATTATTAGTAGTAGTAGTAGTAGTAGAAGTAGTAGTAGAAGTAGTAGTAGTAGTAGTAGTAGGCCTAGTATTATAAGTAGTAGTATAAGTAGTAGTAGTAGTAGTAGTAGTAGTAGTAATAATATTGTTATCAGTCATGTTAGTAGTAGTAGTATTAGTAGTAATAGTAGTAGTAGTAGTAGTAGTAGTAGTAGTAGTAGTAGTAGTAGTAGTAGTAGTAGTAGTAGTAGAAGTAGTAGTAGAAGTAGTAGTAGTAGTAGTAGTAGTAGTAGTATTAGAAGTAGTAGTATAAGTATAAGTAGTAGTAGTAGTAGTAGTAGTAGTAGTAGTAGTAATAATATTGTTATCAGTCATGTTAGTAGTAGTAGTAGTAGTAGTAGTAGTAGTAGTAGTAGTCGTAGTAAAGGTCGAAGTATTAAATGTCAATAGGCCAACTCACTGTAAGGGCATAGGAAGCAACATTCTCCATCCGGTTTTACAGGTTCGGCGCAGAAGGCCGGCGGACAACTCTCAATGACACATGTTACAGTGGCATTGTCGCAGTCACAAGTGGTGCATTCATCCACTTTCCAGCTATCACCGTGAAGGTAGGGTATTCCCCGGTACACGCAAGGCAGTAGTAGCTCGCCTGAGCTGAAACTTATAGAGAATGACTGGGACGATTCTGCAGCAACGAGAAAGATGGATTGATGTAAAGCGAGAGAGAACTGAGGGAGATGGAGGGGGAAGTGAGCGAGGTGGGGAGAGAACAGGAGGTGGGGGTGGAGAGATAAACCGATACTTACGCTATTTTTTTCTTCCTTCTAAATGACAATACATGTACATTCATTTGGTAACACAAGTGTACCTAAATCAGCGTGTGTGTTTTTTCTTAGGGGACCATTTATGCGAATATACTTCAAAATAAGGAGAATAACAGAAATATAGCAAAAGCATCTCTCTACAAAATGAAATAATAAAAACCTGCCCCCTTCCGTTACGATAATATTTCATATCCAAAATTAGAATTTGATTAATCACAAATCTTGGCAATGAATATAAAAACATCTGGATATTAATATTAAGGACGATTGAAAAAGATGTAGGTTATATTCGAACATCGATTATTTAAGTTTTTTTTATTTATGCACATACCCTCGGGTCTCTCAAAAATCACTTTTAGAACTTTTTGTATTTCTTTAGGATAGCGGCCAAAAAAAGCTGAATTAAAAATACGAAATGTGAGTCTTTTCACAATGTAAATCAGCATTATATATTTGAAGTCAAAGGCTAATCAATATTTATTGATTTTAGTTAGAAAATGTCAAAATAGTACATCCCGATAATAATTCAATATGTTTTTCATTTAATCTTTAGGTAGTACTGTAGTACATTTCAGCAGTACATTAATCAGCTGGTTGATGGCTCTAAATACTATAGAAAACAAAAATGTTATATTCAGGGATTTGTGTTGCTTTTGTGTTTTTTTTGTTTTGTTTTTGTACTGACGAGATTGCTGTCGAACTTATATAATGTCGATTAAAATCGAGAACCTTTATTTATAAACAAGCTCTAGACGTCTAATACACGTAAACTTGAATATATACAACTATTAAAAAAGCAAAGTGAAATAATTTTGCACAATTCAAATCTGGCCTTTCATAAACTTTTTGAAGAAAAAAATTACATATGAAACGTGCTACCCCACAAAACAGGCAAATGAAAATAGATCGAAATATTGTGTTATTTTCAAACGACTTCAAGACAGACTCTGAAAATGTAAACCTCGATCCTGTTTTAAGCTTATAACAAATTACGATATATCTACATCACAACTTGAGATTGATATTCTCTTTGCGCAACTCTGAACGTATAAGACATAAATGAACTTAGCTCCATTATTCGGAGAACTTACGTTCGACCAGGGAGTTGGGATCCAATCCCAACTCCCTGGTTCGACTATGGCCGATTACAACTATGTATAAGAACAAACAAAGGGCCCTGTAACTCAAAAATGTCGCGACAAGTCGTACCTCCCCACATCGTGGCTCTCCTTTAAAGCAATCGTAACTTAAAATTTAATAGAAACCTGCAATCAATAAAATGTTACCGATGGAAACAATAAATGGTATTAAAGATACAATTAGTTCCAGCAAGATTTTAACTAATTTACTGTCAGTCGATTTTTATCCTACAAGACCCTACATATATTTACCGATACGATAGCGCTACTCGAAAATAACCATTAATCGCAATATAATTTCAAGAATCATTTGAAAATGAATGTACCCTACCTTGTGCTTGACAAAACACTGCAAAAGAAGCCACGCAGGCGATTGCTAACAGAAGGGCGTGCCAACGATGGTGGAGTTTATCTTTGGAGCTGTACATGATGCATACTCTAAAAAGCTAGCTCAAAATGAAAAACAAGTCCCAACGACAAGGTAGATGTATCTATCTGACCAACTTTTTTGACAACTGGCGCCGCTAAACTTTATTGATTGCAAAACGAAGCTAGGTAACACAAGGATAAAACAGTTGGAATGAATTAATGTTATTGATTGTCAAAGGACCGGCGTTCGTGTCTGGAGGAAAGGTAGCTTGTGTGCGTTTAGGAGCGCCAAGAAAGTTAAGAAAAAAGATCCGGCAACGAGGTTTATTCAGTTGTTTAACTGGGAGCACCTTTTGATGTTCCTAGCAGACAAGTGGAGCAAATTAAGTCGTTCAAGTGGGACGAAGCAGACGAGAACAAGGAATATGCTGACTTCAAGAATTTCCGGTTTTGTGGTTCTTTTAGAAAAACCGACTTGTCACTTGATTACAAATGACAGAGCCTACACGGTGTGGTCAGGGTCGTGATCTTGGTGAAGATGTGTTTTTATTCTTAAAGACATACTGTACTCTCCAGTTTCCATGTGCGTTGCGTCATAGTTCTCATACACCGAACTTGGTGGGATTACCAATTTGATTGATTGATTGATGTTCATTTTTTCCATACACGCATAGTCCATACGATTACAAACGTTCAACATGTATGGCCACATAGAATAATATATACAACAAAAGTGGTCGTCTAAACCATAGTTTAAGTTGACGTCCTCATCATGAATAAAATAAACAATTCAGACCTCAGACAAACAAATGCAAACAACCTTTTTTTCTACAGCCAAGTTTGGCTGGGGTGGCTATGTTATTCATGTACAACAGCATTCCCCAATCAATTCGAGATTGCACATCTCTGTCCTTATTTAAACGATCTCTTTAAAAAGAAAATTCATTGATACTGTAAGACCTTAATATTATGTTTTTCTTTGAATACCATTGCCCTTGTTTTAAATACCATTGTTCTGGTTGTTTTGTTGCATGTTGTCTCCCCCCCCCCCCCCCATCTTTTTCAACTACTTATTCTTCTTTTTCTTTCTGGTCCACATGGAAGATCAGCTGCACTATGCAAGTACAGCTGAAAATGGGCTACCCAGCAGTCGGTTTCTCTGTCTTTTTTGTTATTTCGCTGTACATCCTTTCGAATGGTGGCCCTGAAGGGACATCCCGAAAAGACGAAATCGCGAATTATTCACGAAGAAATTCACTAAGTCATGAATTATTCGCGATGTCCCTTCTGGGCCACCATACTTTCGTTCTTAATGTTGTTTTTGTTTTTGTTTTCAATTTAATGCCATGTGAATATTCTAGCTTATGTTAACTTGATATTATGTATAAGCTTATAAATGTTTTCATTTTTTCATTGTATATTGTGTATTCTTTTTATACGTCGGAAATACAAATTAAAAAAATAATAATTAATCAATGCATACTTATTAGCGGACGTTCAACAAAACAAACACAAATAAAAAAAAAAACAGTTAAGAGGAGAGAGAAAGAAATAGAGAGGGGGAGGGAGAGAGATAGGGGAGAGTTCCAATTAGGAAGTATTAAGTTGAACATTTAAAGCCCCATTGTACTACTTGTAGCTACTTGCTCCCTCTATATAGAAAACTTCCCCAATTGGTGCCTGTTGGTCCCCCATGATCCTCTATTTCTTAAGTTATTTGAGAACTGAGTTGATGAGATAGCCCCCTGTCAGTGACCTCGCTGTGTGGTCTAATCCCTTCTGGCCAAACTACTACAGTTGAGCCTTAAGGTCTATATACACTGTTTGTCATTAAGGTGGAATATTTTTTCTTTACCCCAATTTATGGAATGATTTTGACAATGATTTATTCCTAATTGATCTAGATAATAGTATACGTTTTCATATTTTATTGAATAATAATTTGCGAGTGTTTTTTATTGTTGCGTGACTGCTACAGCATGTGTATGCTACTATACTTATCAATTAGGGGACCTACGTCCTTAAATCATCACTGACAGTAATGAGGATTAATGCCTCACTAAAGGGCACCAATATAGCACATCGACACGGTTTTAATCCTGAGGCCTCACAGTTACGAGGTCGTTGCTTTGCCACTGAATCATGACTGTACGCAGCGGGGGCTAGGGTAAGGAGAAGCCCCCACAAATAAAAATAAAAAATGCAATAAATTATCAATAATTCATTTCAGTCTCTCTCCCCCCCCCCCCCCGGTCCCCAACAGAAAAAAACTCTGCCATGCCTTGAACCATAGTGCATGACCGGCAAGACATTACTCTACATTTGCCACTCTCCACCCATGAGTTAGATGGGTACCAGTAGGAAGAATTCCTTAAATGCTGTGAGCATGGAAGGTGGTAGTCTGACATTAGCTGGGGAAATACTGGAGTGTCCTGACCAGCTTGCGCGGGGTGGATATGAGCGCTAAAAAAGAATATATTATTAATATTATCAGTATTACTATTAGGACTATGATGATACGTATGATGAAAGTGTCGAATTTCCTTTTTGTTTAAATCAGAAACTGACGAAGTTTAGATGATAAGATATGTTAACCATTTAACTCAGGAACGTCGATCAACGTTTACATTGTAGAAGAATTGAGTGTTTGGAAAGATTTGCGTATACTTAACGGGGGAAAAAAATGCGTGATTTGACAGCTGCCTACTTTTATCAGAATAGGAGAACTTCTGCTTTAAAACAGAAGTTACATACCGTAGCTTCATACCGCAACTTTTAATATCAGTTTCTATTTTTGAACGGGTGATAAAGTATGTCAAGCATTACTCATTTGATGCCGGTCAACGTTTAGGGACAAGTTAAAATTAATTCAGAGTTTCTCGGCCGGCCTTTTAAAAAATGAGGACATGTGGAGGAGGGGGAAGGGGCTCGAGGTTACTTGATATGGGATTTTTCTCTATTAAAGCAAATACATTCTACTGGGCTCATTTCAGCACAAATTTTGTGTAGATTCAAATGTCATTCTCACATGCACTGCAGAGGCTGAAAAGGGGTAAACCTGGATTTACAGAATAGTTTTGTGTCCACTCCAATGCCTAGATGTCCCTGGATTGTTATTTATCTAATTTCAGAGCAACTATATCAACAACAAAAAAGGAAGAAGTGGAGGAGGAACAATAGGTAGGACAATATCGTTTCGAAACAGAAGTCACGTACAGCATCTCCCTTTTGATTACACCCTTTGACCCCACATGTAGTCACCTACTTCACAAAAGCCTTCAAACTTAAATTGAGCTGACGTCTCTATCGCATAACCAGCTCCACGTCGTTGCCAATTTGAAAATCACTTCATCTTGCCTTTAAGTGATGCGTGGAAAATCAATTGGGACAATTGCTGGTAATTTTCCCTTTCTCAGTAAATGTGTTACCGCTCCCTTAGGGATGTTCCGTCACTTATCTAATTTTATAAGAATCGTTGTGATCCTTAAAACATCTCTTTCCATCTAGATAGCTAGACATACAATGTCATATTGAAAGGAACTATTTAGAGGTTTTATTCGATTGGCTAAATTTGTTAGTAGAATGATTAAGTCAAATTTCGTTTTAAAATCATGAAAATTATAACAATAATTATGATAATAGGGGTTTATTTGCCCAGTGTAGCCACAACAGTATTAATATTGCTCTTCCTGCATATGCGGCCCCAGCAATTACCAGGTCCTCATATTTTACAGAAGTGGCAAAAGTGAAGGGAAATCCAACCTTGATAGAAAAATACTCTAGAGGAAAGCAGAAAAATCAGAGAAGTAGACCGGATTGGTGAAAGTTTGAATGAAATCGGGCAGAAAATGAGAAAGTAATGAATTTTTGAAAGTTGTATTTACTATAATTGCGTATGGGCTCTTCATATTGGCTGAATAATTAATGTCTCTGTGATGTACAACTTTCAATTTTTCAAAAACGGATGTTTTTTTAGTAGTGCCCCAAAGGAGAGGGCAAATCGGAGTGAAATTGAAATGTTTCATATTGTTGTACATGTCCAACGGGAGAGTTATCCGCGACTACGTCACAATCCACTGACCAAACTACCAATTTAAAATTCGGATAGACTCTAATAGTGATCTCATATTTCAAACATTCAAAAACTTTGTTACAATTGGTCCGATTTATTTCAACTTTTGCCATTCTATTTATCTTTCTGCTTTCATACAAATGAACTTATTACAAGGGTTGGATTGCCATGTACTTAGTGTCAAAGGACGTTAGTGCCAGGTTCGTATTCGAACCTATACCACGGCACCTCCACAACTCAACTTAGGTTTTGCTGAACACGTTTTGTTTTAACGAAGAGCACTGGACACAGATATCCGTACATGGGACTGCACAAGAATTTGTCATCAGTTTTTCCCCTAACCTGTAAACTGCAAAAAGTCCTCCTTTTTTGTTTACATAATATATGAGAGACCTTCAAGAGCAAACTTTCTTAATGGGAAATTGTTACAACGACATTGTCATGATGGAAGTAATAAAAATGAGAAAGTTGACAACTGGTTTGAGGCATATAACTGCACCTTCACCAGACCTCAACTTCTTTCTTCAACCTAACCGCTTTCGAACAATGTAAGAGAGGACTATATGAAAACTTGTATGCATTTATCTTCACAATACACCCGCCCCCATTTAATAACAAGTTTCATTGTGATTTATTTCATCCGGGAAAATTTGATTTATAATTTATTTTCATATAACTCAGGGTTTTTAATATAAATGTGTCGTTTTGTTTCTTGTGAAGAATTCATTACCTGTAGAAAGAAAAGTAGTAAGGAGATCACTTTGTTTACCCCCCCCCCTCATTTTCTCTCTCTCTCTCTCTCTCTCTCTCTCTCTCTCCCTCTCCCTCTTTTCTCTCTCTCTCTTTCTCTTTCTAATCCTCTTTTCTTTGCTCTCATTCAAAATCAATGTCTCTCTCTCTCTTTCTCTCCCTCCCCCTCTTTTCTCTCTCTCTCTGTTTCTCTTTCTAATCCTCTTTTCTTTGCTCTCATTCAAAATCAATGTCTCTCTCTCTCTCTCTCTCTCTCTCTCTCTCCCTCTCTCTCTCTCGCTCTCTCGCTCTCTCGCTCTCTTCTAATCAGTCTCTTTCTCTGCAAATCGATTTCCCCCTTCTTTTATGCACATTAAATTGCGACGAATTTTCCTTCATTGCCCGTGTCGATGTTGTCATACCTCGAATATAATCAATATCATAATCTATTATCTTTTGAACAGTAGTGTCATGGATCTAGCAATCATATGGACAAAGTATGTTGTGATTCGTTCCCTCTAACTCAATTTTACCAAAAACATACGTTTGTACAGTAACGTGTCCTTATTTGTAATGGACGTTCCTAACACAATCATTTGCATCCTTTTGCTGCTTTGCGTATTATATTGTCGATGAGAAGGGGAAAATGTGACTATTTACATGTATAACAACATTCCATTGTTAATAACACGCTCGTTCATTTCCATAATCAGATAATTATATATAATAATATGATCAGCTTACACTCGCCCATGTGTCCATGTACCTACAAAATAACGCGGCATTAGATTCAATATATATATATATATATATAATTATATATATATATATATATATATATATATATATATATATATATATATATATATATATATATATATATATTTAAAAGAGAGTTGTTCATGCCTCCACTTGGCATTGTTGTAAAGTAAATACAGGTGTGGTTTTTTTTTTTAGTCTAGTCTGTTTGTACAATTACACCTCTTTGTATTTTTCTATCTATTTAATCTATCATGTATTATGGAAAATAGGAAATAGGAAGAGTTTAATGAATAGCATATCATTAAACAACTTGGTATTTATTTTTTGAATAAAAGTACAATACAAACTTTTCGGTTTTATCATCTTTCGTTTTTTTTTGTTCCATTTTGTTTATGTTGTTGTTAATATCAATTTTTCGTTAGTGGATTTAATAGTGGATTAAAAATCTGGGAATCTGGGAAACCTTATGTTTCAAGAAAATAAGCGGTATCTTTGGAAAACAATTAATTACAGTCCTCATGAACAATATCAGGCACCAATATTATCACCAATACGTCTTTAATCACAACAAAACACACAAGTCACAATCACAATCTCAAAAACACTTCCAGTCATCAATAACTTTATGATGTACGTGACACTCAGTAATAATTTGAATGATACACTTTGCATTAAATGTATTGCACTTCATTTATTTGATCATGATCATTTAACAATCGAATATCAGAGTCCGAAAATAACATTTTTTCAAGTAAAGGCGATAAATTGTAAATACAATTGGTATTATTTACTTTTTGAGATTATTTGACATAATTTTATTTTTAAAGAAATTTAAAGCTTCGTGCCATTTAGTGTGTGTTATTTATCTGTTCATAATACCTCGAACTAATATTGATTTTCTGTGATAGAATCAAACTCATACATTGTTTTAATGAGCATACTTTAAAATGTTAACCTCTACGAATTCACTTTTCATAACACAACATAACTCAAATAACTTTTAAAAAATATATGTGATTGAAAGAGTTTACGGGTTACAATTTTAAGCGATTGTGCAAAATATCTGCTCAATATGAATTAGGATCCGATCACAAAATCATTTGTAAAAACATGTTGCTCCTGAGTACAGAAATTTAGCACAAGGCCAATCTCCCTACGATCATATTCGATCATGTAACTCTTTGAGTAAAAACAAATATGATATAGAATCAAGCTATAAAATATTTTCTTTAATGTCTCTCCTTCCCTTCTCTTTTCTCCCCTTTGTTAGCGCAATCTCTCTCTCTCTCTCTCTCTCTACACACATACACACAAACCCTCACACTCGCTTTTTAATTTACTCTCTCTCTTTCTTTTGATTACTTTCTAACATTTACTTCAGTTACGTGCTATAAAATGTCGCCTGTTTCGCATAACATGATTACATGTATATTACATTTCTATACACTAACCTACACACCACTATGCTGGCCAAATTAATACACAAGTCATTTTTTCCTACATTGCACCAGGGACTGATTGCACATCCCCAACAGTTTGAAGTGAAAAATCATGAAATTTCTCATTGCACTTAATAACGACGAATATCAAATACTTCGACAGCTAAGACCATGTAAGAATTGATTTTAGATACAAAGGATCACTTTCCAAGACTATAATCTAGAGACTTAATCTAAGTCAAAATATTAAATTGATGAACATAAGTTTCTTTTTCTAGAATGTGCCCTCTCCAGTAACTGATCTTGAAATGGGGAAAAAGGCGGGATAAAAATCCCATAAAGACAATCTAAAAATTATATGTGAGTTGGTTGTTTTTATTTCATTTTTTGTGGGTTTACAAAGCGGGAGAAAGGGCTACCACGGTCTAACCATATCCTGGAAACACCACTGCTCTCCACCCCCTCCAAATAATAAAATATTAACATGATTTATTGAGTCCTATCAAATATACTTCATTAATAAATTAACGAAACGGGCGGAATTTTACTTTTTGACGTTTTAAAGAATATAGTTGGAAGAGAGCATGAACACAATCGCAAAGATGATTCAAGAAATCAACTCAACCTAATTTCTTGTGACACCTTTTGTAATGCGTAAATATGAGAAATGACATGTTGCGTGATCCGAATATGATGTCTATAGGTAGTACAATAGGGAATTGAAATTGATCTTGAGCTGATCTCTTAAAAATCTTTTCGATCGTGTTATACAAAACCGGTTCTGTTATGAGGGATCTATGAATGCGGTACGTCAGATCAATTTTCTTCTAATGCTCACTTGCTATTTTCATCGGAAACTTAGAAGTGTGCTCTTTTCTTCTCTTTCTCCTCTACCTCCTCCTTCTTCTTCTTCTTCTTCTTCTTCTTGTTTTTCTTCTTCTTCATCTTCTTCTTCTTCTTCTTCTTCTTCTTCTTCTTCTTCTTCTTCTTCTATATTCTTCTTCTTCTTCTTCTTCTTCTATATACTTCTTCTTCTTCTTCTATATTTTTCTTCTTCTTCTTCTTCTTCTTCTTCTTCTTCTTCTATATACTTCTTCTTCTTCTTCTTCTATATCCTTCTTCTTCTTCTTCTTCTTCTATATACTTCTTCTTCTTCTATATACTTCTTCTTCGACAACGATTTATTTTCTTTCACACGTCTCCTAGGGTGGGCCAGCGTTCGTATTAAAGAGTAAAGGGTCCGTCTGATCTGTATTATAACATAGGAAAGAGAAAAGAGAAATTTCTCAGTTTTATTTCACATTTGACATTTGACATTTGAAATAAAATCGAAATTCATGTATGCTGCCTTTCGGACAAGAAGGATACCGCGTTTGTTTCATTTTTGAAAATGACCTATACATGTTTTGATCTCCTGATAAGAATAATAGCAATTTAAGAATAAAAAATAAAAAAATCCAAGAAAGTCTTCTTGCTTGTGTGTTATGTGATTTATTAAGCAAAAGTAAGCTTCTGCTTTGACCTAGCACAGAATGGATTTTAATCGGTAAGCTCATTTTTAATCCAATAGAAGACAAATCAACAATTCTCGTAAATCTCACAGCAAGTTTCACTTTGTTCTACACACATAGAAGTTGTTAAGTGGGTTCTGTATGCTATAATATAAAAACTCTAATGGACTTGGCTCGCAAGCCCATCTTGCAATGTGTTACGTAAGTTTTGCCGCCATCTCTTCGTCCAATCACGATTCTGAAAGAGAGAAAGTAGGGATGGTTGCTTAGAAGTATTTGATTAAAATAACGTGAACTCTTTTGATTAAACTAGATTTTGTTTGAGTGATTTTAAATAATTCAACAACTGTGAGAGACGTATAAAATGGTAAGTCTGCATAAACGTATGTACATATATTATACCAAAGCATATGAATGACAATTCTACCATTTACTTAGTTTTTGGCAGTTTTAATGTACGCCATAGAGATCGGGGCCCATATTCACAAAACCTTACAAGCTAGCTGTCAACTAATTACTCAGGTTAAAGTACATACATGTAGTTAGTTGACAACTATACTAAGTAATGTGTAATGAATATGACCACAGGTATTACACTTTTAATTTAAAATACACAATGATAGTTCATTGACGTTGTATGAATATGCAAATATGAAAATACTTACCCATATTACCATACTTACTGATTTATCGTAGAATTCTCCTTCTCAATGTAGTGTGCGTCACTGGAGACCGTTTCTCGAAACCGTCATAAGTCTAAGATCTTCAACATCTCATAGAAACATGTGTTATATAATAACATTCGTTCCAATGGGATGTCCACAAACGTCGAGTTATGACGGTTTCGAGAAACTGGCCCCAAATCATCAGAAGACATTTTAAAGATATAACATGGATGTGGTTGATTAAGATAAGGGATGAGGACTGTCAATATCATAGTACTGGTGATGATAAACAGGCAAGGAGAGGCGAGGCACATGCATCGAGGGGTCATGCATCAGAAGATAGGATGAATTAGAGAAAGAGAACAGAAAAGATGGCAAATCTCCAATAATGAAATATTCCTGAAAAACAACAACCATGATAATAATGATATCTGTAACAATTATAATAAAAAATCTCATCAATTATACTAAATTATTATCGATTAAAATGATAATATCATCAATAATAAAACAGTAGTAACAAAAACAAAAAAATAATATTAATAATAATAATAGTCACAATAGTAACAGACTGCGAATTGTATGAAAAAATACAGATATTCTGATATGGTTAAGAAAAAAAACATCATATATTTTTTTTCTCCATTATTTTAGCAAGGATAGTGAACCATGGATTATGTTCATGTTGCGTAGAACGTGATGTGGATGTAACTTGTATTTCTATCTAACTAGCTTGTCACTATCCAATCAACATTATGGAATACTGCTTATAAGTATCGCCTTGCATGGTGATGTAGATATACAGTAGGCTCACGGTTGCACCATGTGAGAGGGGGAAGATTGGGGAGTCCTGAAAAGGACTGTCGGTAATCTTTCTTTCTTGAGTGTGTGTACCTATAGTCCTTTTCAGGACTCCCCAATCACTCCCCCCCCCCCCCCCCTCTCCAGTGGTGCAACCGTTAGCCTACTGTATATTATGAAATACGTTATTAGATCAAATCTGAGTCATAGCTGGCTTTATTTTTATGAAACTAAATGTATTATTGCTCAAGAAAAATTAAGTTCAATTGCATTCCTTCACCGCAACACCATTTGCCATCAGTTTTCATTCATTAAAATCAAAATGTACTCCACAAGAAAAGGAAAAAATGTTTCAGCCTCACGCGACCCCATCCCCGAAGAAATTAAATAGATACTTACGAGCTTTAGCACACTTGATCAATTTACAACTTGTCATAGAATCCTCTCTCGTTCCCTCTAGGGAGAAATTTGGACGAGCGCGCACCTGCTTGGAGATCTCGGCACACAGGTAGTAGTCTTCATCGCAGTTGACATCTTCAGAGTTGACCCTTGCCTCAAGGTTCCGGAAGACCATTGAGTCTCCAGATTGCATATCACGACTGGCTTCGTTGGGATCCAAGGTCTGCTGGTCCAGGATATCTCGCCGACCGGTGCCGTCGTCGTGGGTGGCGGTGAAGGTCTCGAGGCGCCACAGGTTGTCACCTTCGGCATCTCCTCCGGCGGGGTTCGAGTCGACCTTGAAGTCGAAGGACAGTTCGTTGGGTCCGTCTTGCAGCTCGTCGTCAGAGTTCAGAGTAAGACGGGTGTTATCGATCAAAACACCTTTACATTTAAAAAGAGATGTACCATTTCTAAATGATTACTAATGTTCATCGACATCTTTGTCTTCTAATTTACGTACAATGTACCTTGCCCATCACAATTCTGTATCAGCCCTTTCAATTATAAATGGATTATATGGACCTGGGCCCCGTCTTACATAGAGTTGATTATAGTTATTGATTGGTTTGATTCTTCTTTATAAAACGGGGCCCTGGAGAAACAATCGGTTAAATGAAAAGTGGTCCTAAACATTTTAAGAAAGAGGTATCAAAAAGGAAATACCAACGTTTTTTACGATTTGGATCTTTTGGTGAGAATTGTGAGTATTTATTTATAATTAGTTAAACATAAAACTATAATTGCCATAAATTGTGAAGTTCTTAAGCTCCCATAAGTTTTTATTATTACTAAAACGATGAACATGAATTGAACATTATCAAGAAAAGTTTTTAGTTCCCCTCGCATCAACCCCCTATGGTATTAACATGTTTTAGTCATTTGGAATTGTCATAGTCATAACGTAACACATACCTTCACAATGGAGCTCGAAACAGTCGACAAGCACGTCATCTGTAGGTTTGGCAATGAATTCAAAATCGGGATCGGCATATTCATGCTTGCGCAGCTCAGAACAGAAGTACCTGACCTCATCGCAAGTGCGTCCAGTCATGTCGAAATTGGTGTCCACGGCTCCGTACCGGATATTCTCCCCTGGAGATGCTGGTCTGTCCTTTTGATACTGGGTGAAGACGTTGGCCTCTTGTGGGTTAAACCTGGGACCGCGGCCGTCGGGATATGTACTGCCAAAAGTAGTCAGGTCCCAGAGATCTCGACCGTCGGCCTTTCCACTAGAAGGGTCGGCGACGCCAGTGATGTCGTACAGAATGCGGTTGTTGGGTGTGCCTTCGCTGATACGTCCGTTACCCAGGAGATCCGTCTCTACGTCAGTCAGAATAACAGCTGAAATATGTATTTTATATAATGGAGAATCATTATTTGGTTAGTCTCTTCTGGTCATTACGCTATTGGGCATGGAAGAACACAGAAACCCCCTTGTTTTCTTATCTCTTTCCTTTATAGAGGCCTACCTTTTAAAACAAACGCTTGTGTTAAGAGACCCTCACAGGGACCCTTATTGATATTTCAACAACTACGTTGGAAAATATGTATTGACTGATAATATCTTCAGAATTTTTTAATGTATATGAAGTTTAGACAAGAAATACCAATCTTCTGAAGCAACTGATAATTTAATTTCCTTGCGCTAGAGCTAATTATATTTTAATTAAGAAGTACTGTTTCATTCATCCTATATTACTATTAGAAGAAATATTGATAAATCATATTGGAGTCGATATCAAGTTGAACTTTTTGCCATAGGAAATCTTACTCCTAATGTCGGGTCATGAAACATTGACATTCCTAGCTATTGATAGCAGACACTTAATCGCTTAATGTAGATATGGTTTGACTGCATCTCATTTAATTGAAATGTGGCAAACAACAGACTTACGTCTGCGGCAAGGTTGCTCTTTACAACTGATGATTTGATCACCACCTCCTTGCACCTCGAACTTAAAATCAGGGGCGGCACGCAAACCCTTGGAGAACTCAAGACACAGGAAGCGGTACTCCGAGTCACATCCGATCTGCGACAGATCGAACTCGGCCTCCAGATTATTCAACTCTAGAGGTGCTCCTTCACCGTCTGCAGGTGTGGATGATTCTGCCCGGTCCAGGATCTGACGGACGTAGCCGAGACGTGGTCCTTCCCCGTCAGGACTAGGAGAACCAAAGACTCCGATTCGCCAGAGCCCATCACCATCGGCAGGGCCACTTTCTGGCAAGGTGCTAAGGTCGACGTTGAGGAGCATATCGTCAGGTTCATCAGCCCTGACCGGTCCAATGGGAGTCATGTCCCAGTCCATGTCGTCAAAGATAATTCCTATGTATTGTGGGTAATTAAAAAACGATGCAAATATATCAAATTACTGTACTAGACATACTGTGAACATGATACAAACTAGTTAGGAACTGTATTATTTTACTCCTATTTGATAGCACGCTGTCTGTGCAAAATACACTCAGCTGATTCACGAACATTCTATGGAAAATTTCGTAAAGAGTATGTGACATGGTTTAAGGAAAATGCACTTAAAGAGAAGGTTGAGTTCTGGGGAGAGGTGACAAATACTTTGTGAGCGTTATCAATGTTATTATGCAGGTGTGGAAGAACATCAAAGAAAAACTGTTCACTGAAAAGCAGGGCTTTTTAAATGACTCCATATTCTAAATATGACAAGTAACAGCTTAAAAAATAAGGCCCGATTTTTATGCCACATGACACATATACATCTTTCAGTTTACAGTGCTTGTTACTTTACCAATACTGGGCCAATTTCTTATCATTTTGATGACTCCAGAACCTTGCAGTACACACCAGTACTGATATGCTACATGATCAACTTGTTCTGATGAATTCCACACCGTTTTCTTTCACAATGCAATCGCGTGACCAGAACTCAACTTTATCTTTAAGAGAACCGGGTATGCACCAAACAGTAGAGTTCCTGTCCTACACATGTATATAGCTAAATAATTGTTTAACGTGGGTAATAATACACGTGACTGTGTAAAAACAGTACTATAGGGATAAGTAACGAATTATTTTAATCAATATAATCAAGTAAGCTTCATCGTAAGGCATTTTAAATGTTATGTCACATTGAAAACTATAAATACTATACTAGCTTGGTATTTAATACAGAGAACAATATTTCTTTGTGCAATTCACGATGTTCTCTATTCGTTGATATCACGTTACAGGATTTTTGAGACTTCATACATTTCATATTTTGCTAAAACATGCAAAATTGACACACACAAAATTGCTCTTTCGATCCTTATTATTATCAATATAATTCTTCTCTGTTTGTAATTAATATGAGCTTCGTATGATAATGTTCTCTCTTTTTGTTGGCGAAGTTTTTGTTGTTAATGTGCTTTGTATCTAATGAAAAGGCTCTACATAAAAGGAATATTATTATTATATATTATGATATTTTGATATAAATGAAATGGGAAAGTGGGTTATGTGGGAAAATTTCATTATCCAGATTAGCATGATAATCAGGCCAAACAAGGTATGATGAGCATTATTATGATTAAATCTAATAAAGCGTTCGTATGCATCATGACATAGCGCATTTCATCGCAAAATGCTATATTGATGAATCTCTAACTACAAATAATTATACTGATTGACAATACAACACACACAACAACAACTTTGTTTCCCAAAAATGGTGATGATGATGATACATGGAGCGATGAATGCTTTAGAGCTTTACAATGGCGGTGTAGCTGCAGCCAGGGTAGTAATGTGATACTTTGTATTGAGCGGAGTAGAGTAGCTGCGCTATATAAATGGAGATATTAATATTAGTGTTGCAAATGAGTTATTTAGAGCAACATTAGTTCTCGATAACTCATTTGCAACAATTAATAGACAATTTTACCTCTGCAAGCGTCATCTGGCACTTCAAAACAACTCCTCAGTACCGACTCGTCCGGTTGAGGGGTAAACACGAAATCGGGGATGGACTCTGGGTCTTTGTTGACCTCGTTACAGATGTACTTGACCTGAGGGCACTTGAGTCCGGTCATGTCGAAGTTTGTCACCAGCGGAATGAAATCCAGTGTATCTGCTGCTTCCATAACAGGAAGGGCCGCGTGGTAACCCGAGAGCACTTGCTCCTGGTAGTTGGCCTGAGGTCCGTTGCCGTTGGCGCGATCACTACCCCACTGGCTGAGGGTCCAGAGATCCACACCCCTGATCGTACCAGTTTCATCAGTGGTGGATGCGACGGAATTATAGGTGATTGGATTTTCCGCTTTTCCTTCGTATAGCACGAGATCCGTTAAAACATCCGTTGGCGTAGATTCAAGGTTATTGATTTCAACACCTGTACGGAAATATAAACATTAATATTATATTTGGGGAAAACTTTATTATTGCCTTACTTTGATATGATTGCATTGCTTTAAGTTCAGCATGTGTTACATCTGGAATTACACCATAAACATGATGAAGAAGTAGGCTACTAATTACGTTTTTTATGTAAAGTCTTTGCACAGAAATTGATTTGAACGTGTTGTTACATCTAATCAACATCTAAAAAATATCATTGATATTTTCAGGAAATTTGTATTTTGCATTTGCATTTGGAAACACTGAAGTGAATTGTTATAATAATAATGATAATAATGATAATAATGATAATAATAATAAGGATAATTGTAATAATAATAATAATAATAATTATAGTAATAAGATAACAAAATAAACACCTCTACACGGCTGCTCTTTGCACGAAATTATTGAATCCTCTCCAGTTTCAGTCTCAAATTTGAAGTCTGGCGTGGGTGCTTCCCCTTTCTTGAACTCAACGCAGAGCCACCTGAATTCATCACAGCCAATATCGTCAATGGGGAAGTCGACATCAAGCTTGCCGAACTCCAGAGGTCCACCATCCTCAAGAGGCAAGGCTTCGTTGAACGGATCAAGGAGCTGTGTAACCTCATGTCTGCGCGGTCCGTCGCCGTCGGGGCTATTAGCGGCAAAGACACCCAACTGCCACAAACCATCTCCAACCACGTCGGGACTGTCCGGGTCGAAAAGGACATCTGCGTCGATGGTCAAAGGTGACGGTTGTCCAAAGGGAGCATCACCAATCTCGGGCTCCCATTCAATGTCTGTGGCGGTAGCACCTGAAAAAGGACATATGTATATGCATTTATCTGTTGCACATGCTTCATATTTGAATGTATGGTGACGATCTTTAACATAATTGCTCAAGTGCTTGGTATATAAATAAATGGTGAAACGAAATTGCGAAATTGCATTTAGCTATCACAACAACAAAAAACAGTTTATTTTGATTTATATTCCACATACTAAGAATCTTGCTCTACGATTGGTCAAAAGTAAATCACGTGATGAAATTATTGATGGGAGAAGCAAAAATTTCGTTACACTGTGTAGATAGTACTACTATCTACACTATCTACACAGTGCAACGCACTTTCACTGAAGATAGAGGTACTATCTACAAAGGGCATTGCACTTTCACTGAAGATTATCCAAAAGCGAACTAAAACAGGCGTAATTAGGCGCGCATTACCAATGAGCGCAATTAATACAAACACATGCGCGCACCGTACCCTCAAGGGGTTGGGTTAAACTGTTAAAAAAATTTGGTGTGAATTTCGGCATGGTGTCTTTTATGAAGATGCATACACGTCCTTTTCTTTTTGTAGTTAAAGCCAGGGTAATTATGCTGCATTATTGTAGAGCGCTTAGAGACTTCTGACAAAGTAAGTGTTAGGCGCTATATAAGCACTGTAATTATTATTATTATTAGATGTGGAATATAAAGCAAATAATCACCTTTCGGTTTCAGGCGATGGCAATCTATCAATTCCTCGTCGACCAGAATGTATACGCTATCTTTCCTCAGCTTCGCTTCGGAAAGATAGCTACATCCAGATCGCCTTGGAAATGATAGTTTGTCCCATCACCTTCACCAACGGTAGTTATTTGCTTAATATCTTCATTTTGGAGAATTTTGGGTTAGTCTGAAAAGCATTCCACAAGCATGTGTGGGTTTCAAAGGCACAGTCTTTGCAAGTGCAAAGTATGTGCAAATTTACATTATAATTGATAGTCTACACAAAGGGAAATCTGAATAAGTTAATACTTACACAGAATTTGGGGTCATTAGCAACGAAAGACAAAGTAGTATCTATATCCACACATTACTTTTATAAATAATATCCTTTTAAGCATTACGTATTTGGGAAATGAGATGTCAAATGTAAAGGTAGGCTCTTACCCTTGCAACGATCACTCATGTCGACACATGTAGTCGTGACTGAATCATCGGGGCGAGCTTCAAAGATGTAGTTAACACTGGCTTTGGGGTTCTTATCAAGGTCGAAACAAAGGTACAGAGGCTCTTCGCAACGCACCCCCGTCATGTCGAAATCAAAATCAACTTGTTCAAATGGAAGATCCTCCCCTTCATTCAGGTTGGTGCCAGCTTCCATGGGATCGAGAATTTGCTCAACCAGACCGGTCTTTGGTCCTTCACCCTCGGGGCTTTTGCTGGCATATGCGCCGACCATCCATAGGTCGTCACCCCAGACGTTCTTGGAGTCGTCGGCCGTGATTCCGCTCAAGTCCACTGTGAGAGGATTGTTCTTATTCTCGAAGAGGACTTGGTCACCAAGATCGACTTCCAGGTCGGTAAAGATTGCCTCTGTAGTATGAAAAGGGTACATACGGTTTAAGAATTAGGGTATATAACTAAATCATTAACGTTTTCATTGTCTGGCGGTCTAGGTAAATGGCGCACAACTGCAACAATGTTGGAAACAAAGATACATAGATGGAAACATGATACGAAATAGTTGTCTTCTGTCGTTCCATGTGGCGGATGCAATGGCGAATTTAAATCCTGGCAACGTGTTATGAGAAAGTTAGATGTAATAGTGGAAAGACGTGTTAATATTCAATATAAATATATTAGATTAACACATTTGATTGTATATGTGTATCTATCCTTTACCACATGGATATGTCTATATATAACGTTATACAGCTTTTATCACGGGTTTGTTATTCCACTTTTGCTCGGATGTGTGCTGTGATTTCAAAGGCACGCAATTTTACTATGTAATCACGATGTTGAGTCTTACTTGATAAGCATTCCTGTTCCTTGCAGTTTACTAGAACATTGTCCTCGCTACGTTCACTTGCGGATCCCATGGTCCTAAAGAAGTACATAGGTTGCGGATTATTTCCTCCGGTAAATTCAACGCAAACATATCCGAAGTCGTTGCAACCAACGGTGCCAATCTCAAAGTTGGTAGTAACCCCAGGTTCTTCCAGTAAACCACTGTTTTCCTCCAAGGTAATACCCTCTTGTGGCCTATCAAGAATATTTGGTTTATAGTTGAATTTCTCTCCAGTTCCTTCAGGGTTTCTGCTTCCATACAGCCCCATCCTCCAGAGGCCATCACCAGCAACTTCGCGGTTTTCATCTTCAAAGATGACTGTGCCGTCGATGGTAACTCCGGTTTCTCGACCGGGTAGGACACTGTCCGTTGGTGTTAAGTCCCAATCCAGAGACTCGGCCCATACATCTGTTCGGCAGAAAACAGAGTAGAAATAGTGAGTTCGTTGAATGAAGTGGTTCGTCGCAATGGTCGAAAGTTTTCTCCTCGGGAAAACTTTCTTTCATTTCTTCATCGGTGAACACAAACATTATAGAATAAGGTTGATGAGAGAAACATTCAAAGCTTTCGCCTCGTAATCTCTTGATGTGTTCCCCTTTACTGAGCCAAAAATAATTGGTAAGAGTCTCTCAGAAGACGAAACAGGATTTAAAAGAAAGAAAATGTAAAACGATATGTGTATGAACGAACACATAAAATGATATGTTAGACAAATTTGCCAGCAGGATGTCATAACTTGGGAAAACCCAAGGAAAAAAAATTATCTTTAGACTCTCAAATTTGCACAGATGACTTTTAAAATGTTCTTTTAGAACAAACTTGGTAGAAACTTGAAAATGTTAGACTTTGCTGAAACAAATTAATAAGACCCACATACAAAAAAAAATCCGCATCATCAAGTGCATAATTGTTTATCATCACTGCTTGTGCCAGAAATGGGATAGATTTCTTTGGCCACTTTGTGTAAGAATTTTTTATAAATCAAGAACATAATAATGGTCTTATGCTTCTCGCACACATGGTAGGGTAGTCGTATTTGTCGATGGTTTTGTTTTTCTTTCTTATCGTGAGCATCCCTCTCCATGAATGGCTAGCAATGTCAGAGTTACAACAGGTGATCACAAAATCCCGAAATGATGGTCTACGTTGGTTAAAAGAGTCCTGGTTACTGGCTCCCACGTAAGTTTCTTGTTTCATAGGATGGAAACTTCGCGCAGATACAGCATTCCGATCCGTCTTTTGGAAAGTTCTTGAAAGTTTCCCTGTTTGGCATCTCTTACATGCATTTCATTCATGATGGAAAAAAAATCATCTCTACAAAAAGACCTCATGCACTTTCCCTGTTGCAATTTCACTCGCACATGAGTATGGTATGTCTACTGGTGAGCAGATTTGGTGCCAAGCAGAGCAAATATCACGAATATTCATGCCATAGTTCACACTTCCACGTAAAACTTAGCCTTAAGCGGAAGTTAAGACCAAACAGCGCCATAGACAACCCACAGGAGCCACACATCTGATGTAAAGGAACAAAAAAGAGCTCATTTTGACTCTCAATTGACCGTTTGTGTCAAGTGATGCCAGGTGATCTCAGGGCAAATGGCACGTAGAGCCAAGTACCAAGTGAGGCCGCCTATGGTCGCGTAGCGCCATGTTGCGCCAATCAGACCCTACACCAATGGTCAAGGCTGACCATTGGCGTTAGATGCCGTAGTTTCCACGTGATAGCCACGTTCATGTCGCATAAATGGCTTTACACGGCTATAACTAATACACTTTACATTAACCTAGGGTAACTGGTAAATTAAATTCTTTAATCAGATGTACATTTTATACAAATAAAGCTATGCAATATGAATAAATTACGGAATATTTATAATTGATATATACAGTGCGTACACACAAAAAAGTGTACCCAACTTTGGTAGCTCCTGATTAAAAAAGTCTTAACCAATATGACTTTGAAATTGATTCCATGATAAAAAGTAACTTAGTTTCTTTCAATTGATACCCTATTCATAATATTTATGCCACGGATGAATGAGCAGCAAGGTCTTTAAAAAGTGTTGTCAAAATCGTCTGGTACCAAGTTTGGTCTTAAGGAACGGTCAGGCCATATGCATGTGCCTCTTTGGTCTTAAATCATATTAAAAGATAAAGTATACCTCGTGCTTCAGTGCTTCATTGTTTGAAATGATGCATTGTATCTAGGCTTTCACAGAACCTTTGAATATTTTGAACAGCCTAATAACTTCTTGTCTCATGATATCTAAGTTCTCTCGTCTCAGTTTTCCGCTGCGCCATTTCACACGGGTAAGAAAGATAAGATGTTTATCTCGAATAGCGAATGAAAACGCAAAGGTTACTTAGCCCTAATAGCGAGAAAGAACACATAATTATGATGATAGATATCAAAGAAATTGACAGCAGACTTTCATGAAAAAAGATAACATCCCAAATAACCTTTATCCATTTTGTATCACTCAATGAGAAAGTTACCTTAAACAAGGGATCCGAATGAACTTAAGATTGTAATCAACATAACGAAGAGAAACTCATAAATTTTGCTTGTAATAAATATTTCCTTGAGTTTGAGTTGATATTTTCACCTTTATGTCCTCCAACCGCCTAATAGTCAATGTAAATAAATGAGCAATTGTTTTTGGAATAAGATAAAACACAAGTAATAGCTTTTGACCCACGTTCGTTGCTTCAGTCCAAACTTGGTAGAAGAGGATTTTGACAATATCTTTTGATAAGCCTGTTGTTCAGTCATCCTTGGCAGCACAATTATGAGAATTGTATTATTAGACAGGGTAATGGTTCCTCTTTAAAATGAAATATGATTCAAGTTTACATAGCTTATATAACTTTTTAATCAAAAGCTACTAAATTTGGTTACACTTTTCGTATACGCACTCTATAATGAGCTTGACAAAGCTTTTGTTAATGATATAATTGATTTGTAATCTTTAAGTGGAAACATAAATAATTTTAAATTGGAATTGAAAATTGTTGAAACCTTTGTATTTCAATAATCTGTCAAACATCATGGGAAATCATAACGTTTATTTAATTATATAGATTGATTTGTTTCTTTCTTTTAGTCTAGATCTCTGCTATTTCGCTAATCCATATCCCTACAACCGCCATCACCACCAAAATCACCTCCACTACCACAACCACTACCACTACCACTATCACCACCACCACCACCATGACTAGCATTGCAATCGTAACGCCAACCATTCGGGAAATCAAGGAGAGAAGAGTAGAGGATGTAGGATTCTATGACAGGGGAGTGGGGTTATGTCTCATGTCACATGCCCCGTTTTTAAAGGTATTACAAAGTTTTGGGAAATTTCGAAAAATGGGTGGATAGTGATTCTTTACAATTTTAATATATTTAGATGCCCCTGTGGATTTATTAAAAACACCAGAAATTTTAGCCCCTAAAACACTTCTGCTTTCGAGAAAAATTGAATATAAAGATTTACCGGTGCTCCCGGTAAATTTTGATAAATTTCAAATAGCTCCTACGGCCGTACAATGGTAGCTGCGACCATGAAAATCTCAGAGTATGTAGTTGTGGTATATAATTTCCGAACGAGAATAGCTAATCAGTCAATTTTAGTCAATAAACATTGTTTTATAGCTTAATTAATTTATATGCCTGATTGGGTGTTGCTGTGGAATTGCTGCTCCTGACACCCCACCCCCTCCCTCATCAGCCACACAAGATCATGGCGATAAATCTAGTTCATGTCCCTCTTTCCTACGATATCATGATTGAAAAAAATACTTACTTGATAAACACTCCTGCTCTTTACATTTGGTGATCGTATTTGATGCTCTAGAATTATCTGTAGCACCCTCTTTGCGGAAGAAATAGTTGGGCGAGGGATTGTCTCCTCCAGTGAACTCCACGCACACATAGCCAAATTCGTTGCAACCGACGGAGCCGATTTCAAAGTCGGTCTCCACATCCATGAGCTCTAGAGGGACACCTTCGTCCAGGGTGGTTCCCTGTTGGGGCCAGCTCAGAGTCTGCGGAACGTAGCCATATTTGTCCCCTAGGCCATCGGGGGTTCGGCTGCCGTAGAGACCCATAGTCCATAGTCCATTTCCAGATAACGTTGGGTTATCCTCACGGAAGAAGACAGAAGCGTCTATATTCACCCCCGTTTGCTGATAGGGGACAACTGTTTCAGTTGGTTCCAGTTCCCATTCTAGGTCCTTCGCAACAATACCTGATTTTTTCCATAAAAAATGTAAAAAAAGGGAAAGGTTATGTTCTAGTCAGAGAATAGAGCTAAATGATATAAGTTACAGATAAATATGCAGATAAGATGTTGTTAAGCTGTTACATGCTCAGAATATGAAGAGATTACACTACAATGGTATATATAAAATTTTTAAAAAGAATACGCTTAATACTTGTTATATACATATGTGTATATTATGTCAAAGAAGAAAAGATTACCTCGACATTCTGGAGCTCCAGTACAACCAGTTTGTGCGTTGCTATCTGGATATCCTCCTAAGGTATAGCCAAGATCCCCCGTAGTTGTTGGGTTATCACCCCTCTCGATCCTAACACAAATATACTTCATGTCGTCGCACTCAGCCATCGGATCAGAAAAGGAAAATTCCAGATTGTTGAACGAGAATTTTTCCTTCTTTTTATAGTACTGGTCTTTTTGCGCAGCGTCCAGAATGTCCTCTTCGTATCCAATCCTTAAATCGAAATCGGATGAATTAAACTCAGAACATTATACATGCTATCTCATACTCGGACTTCCATTATAATAATGTATACTTATTCTACTTATGCATTTTATTTACTTGTTTATTCTCCGTCTTCGGCCGTTGATATACAGTATACGTTCATTAATTTACGTTATGATAGCGTAAATAATGATAATGATGATGGTGGTGGTGGCAGTGATAATAATAATAATAATAACAGGGGCAGGGGCGTACGCAGGATTTTTCAAGGGGGGGGGGGGGTTAAAATCTGGCCCAAAATATTTTGCTCCCGAAAATTTGAAAATCGCGCCGGCCGAAAAGTCGCTCGGGGGGGGGGGGGGGGGGGGGGGGGGGGGGGGGGGGTAAGCGGACACTTTTAAAAAAAAAAATTTTGGTCGAAATTTGAAAATTTGACATTTTTTTTCGTTGGGGGGGGGGGGGGTAATGTCACTTTACGTTAGCCGTGGGCATAATTTTTTTTTTTTTTTTTTTTTTTTAATTAAAAAAAAAAAAAAACAAAACAAAACAAAACAAAAGGTTTTTTTTTTATAGTTTTTTAGGGGAGTTTACACACATAAAAATACCAAAGGGGGGTTTGAACCCCCCCCCCCCCCCCCCTGCGTACGCCCCTGAACAGGGGATTGATTTAGGAACGCGCTTACACGCAATCCAACGACAATCAGCTTTGTCTCCTCAGCGCAGGTTTCGAACCCACGCGTATGACTTAAAGTTAGAGTCAAACGGCTAGCCATTCCACCTTACTGTTTCCGCATTACTACTTTTTATTAAATAGTTTTTGTCAGGAGCCTACCTTTGACTTCTGCCGTCTGGAGTAGCTGAAGCCCAGGCAGAAAGCTTCCAAAGATCTGTCCCAGAGACTCCAGTGGTGTCCATGGCATCTTGGAACTTGATGGGCACATCAAGGCTTACCGTGTTGTCCCCTCCTTCTGCGATGGTGTTAGTGCTCGTGATTTCAGGCGTGACCTTCTTCGCAAGCACATCTATTAGGAGCAGTAAACATTGATTTCGATTTGGAGTTGCAGTGACTTGACTAAAGTCGTACCCTCTGTTCTTTGTGGTTGTAATTATTGGAATGGACACGTTTATATGATGGTGTGTCCCCAATGTTTCACGCGTGACCAAACTTAGAGGACGGTGGGACATTGAAAATCCGGCACCACCACGACTTAAGTCTTCATTTTGTATGGTAATGGTTATAATTTTTGTGATTAAACAATTATGATAATCGCCTTAATCGGCTCTATTTTAGCCTTGTAGTCTTAAAAAAAAAAAAATCAAATAACATTAACAATGACATTTTGCTAACCATGACAAAATCAACGATCGTTAACATTTAGACATACTTTTAAAAACCACTACCGAATACAACAAGGAGCAAATTTTGTCGGAGTAAAACAAGTTACATTCCAAAAGGCACTAAATCCACTTTTACCATTTTCGAGTAAATCAAAGATTTTAATTAACCACTTTTCTCCCTTGTCACCTATCATGTCTTGATGGTATGTGGTAGGGATTCGGAAGACAAAAACATGCATAAATTGAAATACATAATTAAACAGGCCCATTCAGCTCTTTAAATGACCGCCGGGTCATATCACCATTGAAGGACTTACTGTAAGGACAAAGGTAGCAGCATTCTCCCTCCGGTTTTATTGGCTCGGCACAGAATGCGGGCTGACAACTCTCGATCACGCAGGTCACAGTGGCGTTGTCGCACATACAAGTGGTACATTCGTCCACTGCCCACGAATCGTCATGGAGATATGGAACTCCTCGATAGACACATGGCAGGAGACCTGAATCTGAGCTGAAGCTGATAGAAGCCTCCTGAGCTGAAGAGATAAACATAGAGAGAGAGAGAGAGAGAGAGAGAGAGGGAGAAAGACGGAAGACAGATACAATAAAAACCGCCGTATTCATGTCCATTGCAAACGAAATATCAAGCCGTGCAACTTAAAACATTCGTTCATATATTTTACACATGACAGAAAGAAAAATCTCTTCATATGACAATGAATAATAATAATTATACCAGAAAGCACCAGTATTCAAAAGTAATATTAAAGCCCCTTTGCACTAGTTTGGCCATGAGGGATTAGACCTCACTGCATGGTCACTGACAGGTGGTTATCTCATCAAATCAGCTCTCAATTAACATAAGACAAAGGGATCATGGGGGACCAATGGTCACCGATTACGCATTATTTGCTATATAGAGGGCGCAAGTAGCTATTACTAGTGGTGCAGTTGGGCTTTAAGAGCATATTCATTTGGGATTAAAATTGTTGGGGAAAGACTTTATGTCATAATCGCCCATAAGGAATGGGCTCTCCAACGTTCAATCTTTTTTATTACTGATCTCTTTTAACACGATCACAAAGACATTCAAGAAATCCACTACAGGGCCTCTTCTATACCCTATTATATTGCCAATTTGATGTTTGAACCATTAAAAAAAAGTGAAGAACAAGGCAACTGAAAATGCCCTAGGTTGATTTTCCATTAAATGCGAATGGGCCAGTGGTAAAGCCAGCTACTCTAAATATGCTAGATGCGCGTAGCTGTACTACTGACATAAGATTATTGCATATTTCGCATTTGTGATGTCCACCCTCAGTTTAAACCAAAAAAATGCTGAAACAAGATCACGAAGATCAAGTTTAACATCAGGCTCTTTAAAAAAATCGTTGTGCGTCAACTTTTTTAATTGTATCAACATGACAATAAAATAATTATGTCATCGGACACTAGACTTTTTAAATTGCCCTTAACCTAAGTTGATTTATTGAAAGCCTTTGCGATTACATTTTCCAATATGACTAGAAAATTGTTACGTCTTCCGCACATGATCCGTGAAATGGAAGCTTTCCTCGCAAGGTTCTATACCAAAAGGTAATAAATTCGAAAGGTTCAGAGCCTTCAGTTTTCGGTAGATAAACATTATTTAAACAATAATAATGGTTCTTAATTCCAAAGATGAAAAGCTCAATATTTCCAAATGTAAAATTATAATAATTCTGTTCCAATTCAGTCCTCATCAATTTTCTAAATTACGAACCATTTCCTATTTTCCGAATTACAGCTCTTGATTCTACATTTAATTTTAAATCTCGAACCAAATAAGATTTCACAGATTACGAAGCTAGATCCAATTTTGGAAATACGAACCAGCGCTATTATTGATATTCGGATTAAAAAGATCTACCGATAAATGCACCTTCGGAATACAAACAGTTCAGAACAGCGTAACTTTCTTCGTCTTTGATAAATGTCTATTGACTTTTTCCGAATGTAGAAAATTGTTAACTTCCTTTTTTCGACTATGAATAGCCTTGTAACATTCTGCAATTTATATCTGGGTCGTCATACGACTATTTAGGACCTTCGGTCAGAAAGCTTCAACACCTTAGGAACTAATCGTAAACGAAATTTAGTTTCAGCGGAATAGTCAAGTGTGAAGTGGTCAATGAAAAACACAAAATAATGACAATTTGCTTCAGGATTTTCTTTTTTTTTGCCTTCAAGACTTTAAGTGTTAGAAATATGAAATGGTGAACCACAAAGAGTTTTGAAAATATCGGACGAATAGAGAAAGGCCACGTTGTAATATCATTTTCAAAGATTACTTGATTTTAGTTGACCACAAACTAAAAGATCTTCTGTTGAGGCTATTTGTTTCTATATTTAATTACATAATCAGAACTAGACGAGAACATTTTGAAACAATGGCATTTCGGGTCATTTTGTTACAGGGCTAAATGGTAGGATATTTTTAGTTTAACGACAAAAATATTGTTCCGACAATACTTCATGAAAGCATCTTACCTTCTCCTTGGAATGCCACCAGGGCTATGGCCAGGAATCCTAAAAGTAGTGTCCACCTGTGCCGGTGGAGATGGTCCCCAAAGCTATACATGATGTACAATCTTTGACTTCGACCGAGTGAAGTTGAGAGAGCTTTCTTGCTGACGAACCTTCTAAGTCAGCTCCCTCTTGCAAGTACTAGCTAAGAAGAGTCGTAGTTGTTCAAATGCGCTTCCTAACTATCCTTAGGTGGTGCTCACTTTAGATTTGCGGAAGAACCTCTGAGCCAGAACTGCCCGTCTTCGAGAAAGTACCCGCCCGCAAAACTTTTCCCATCCTTCAACCCTCCCACACACACACACGCAAACACAGCAAATGTGTATATTCTCCCCTGCCCACACTCACACACAGACCATCTTTCTTTCTCTATCTATTTTTCTCTACTCTTCATTGTTACTTTCTACCTCTCTCTCTCTCTCTCTCTCTTTCTCATTCTCACTTTCTCTCTCCCTCTCTATATCCCTCTTTCCCACACACAAGCACGCAAAGACAAGATAGACGTCAGGTTCAAATGCAAAGTTAATACGATAAATTATGTAGTGATTCCGGCAGATGTCCTATTAAAACCCACATAGTCTCATGAGCAACAGTTGTTCAAGGGCTGCTGACTCTGCAGTGTTTCAAGAATTAAAGTAAGAAGCAATACTTATGGTTGGTAAAAAAAGGCTCTTGCGATGGAGCGAATCAAGCGAAAAAAGGTCAGACATTTTAATATAGCGCAAATTAATGTAATGTTTGAGCAAATATTAAAAATCCAAAATTATCTGGAGTACAAAAGATTGTAAATTTTTCATATTTTTCCAAGTGGTAAATTCTTTTCTTCATATTTGAAAATCATATCTGAATCTACCAACAGAAAAATTTAAGCTAATGGAGAGAATAGATTTGAAGATGCTTGTTGGTGGGGGTTTTTTTTAAAAGAAATTTAGATTTTTGTATTTATTTATCAAAATTCTGCAGTCAGGTTATATGACCTTTTCCTCTCTGTTTTAAAATCCTGTTCTTCTTTTTACATTATTTTCGCATCGCAATTACCGGAATTCTAACTAACTCTATTTAAAGATTCCTTCCTTTCTGTTTTTTCTCTTCCTCAAGACGCCTCCTTTTCCCCTGTGGGATTAAACAGAGGATAATCAAATTTGGGTTTCAGTTTTAGTCCTCTCAGCCCTATTTCCCCCGATCGACCTATCTGCTGTCAGCATATCTAGAGCTTCTGCTGATTAAACGAGGCGTTGTAGTCAACAAACGACCTTCACATCTTCGTGATCGATTTGTCAAGATAATGGCCCAGATTTTTCCCCAAGTGTGAAGGGCATCATAAGCAGAATCTATACATTGTAATGTGGCAATGATATAATTACACTGTATTGCAATTAATGTTTGCTTAATACCTGCATTACGCAATTTTTAATTCCAATCAGTCGTGTAGCGTGAATCAAGATATAAAGGGTCTAAGACAGCGGAGGGGAGGGGAGGCACCGATCTTAATAAGTGGTTTATGGCTTGCAAAAACTCACAAAGTAACCGAGTAGGTGATGTGGGATGGAGTTTTATCGTCTTTCTTTCACTTTCTTTCCCCTTTCTCTCTTACTTTAAATCTCATTTTCCAAGTCTTTTTTCTCATGCGATGGGGGAAGGGGGCGTGTCCCCTGTAGTTTTAACACCGCTTCCAATACAAAGTTCGTTGACTCTACAAAGCATCGTTGCACACGAGGCGTCATTTGACGTAAGACTGCGTCAGCCTCTGGTGCGGCCATTAACGCAACGTGTGAGAGGGATATCAAACACACGAAAAGTATTGAAAATGAAAAAAGCAAAATATTGCCATTATTTTTTTTATTTTTTTTATTTGATAAGTTTATATTGATCCAATATTATTTTTAAATTCACATAAACACAACACAAATATACAGACATTTTTATCAATGTAACAACAATAAATCAAAGAAGAAATCCAATGGATTTATAGTATAGAGAAAAGAGAATGTTGCCATTATTTACTGACGTGTGTAATTTGCCTTCGCAGGCTCGATTAGCGGAGGTATAATACCGTAATCGAAAAGACCCCTCGTGTGCAACGGGCGAAAGACTTAGAAAAAGAATTCTGCTAAATGAAATTCAAAAGATACCTTAATCATTTGTATTTGTGAGTCAACATAGATTTTATATCGTTATATCGAGGAAAAAACAGACTATACCTGAACACAGCTAAAGACATAACATAAAGCTTGTATTTTCATAGAAAGTAAATTGATATTCACTTCTACTTATCAAAATATAATATGAATGGGCTCGTTATGGTCTTAAGTAAAAGTAGTATTTTTGTTGATAAATACAATTATTAATTAAAATGACACAGATATAGGAATTACATTTCTGTCATCTTATATTACTGCTATATTATTATAAGACTAGCTATTGGTATACTTGACACAATAAACGACTCGAATTACTATAACAGGACAATATTAACCTATTTCATTGAGAGTGGTACCGGAACCGTTGCCCGGGTTCTCAATCTGGAAATGACGTAAAGAATCTAGGAGAGTTTGAAAAGCGCCATCTTAAACCAAATGACAACAACTTCCAAAGCACATAACGAAACAAGTATTATTAGACGAAAAAAAATGCGTTTTCAATCTACACTTAAATAAAATCTCAGGATGGAGCATCAAAAAATGTATTTTCTTGTTCTCCTCTGGTAGCTCTATGTTAAAAATGATCATCAATTCTTTCTCTTTGATAGTAATAATACCGGGGGGATCGTTTCCACCAAATGCATAACCTAGATTAAAGTTGGATATTGCATGTATATTTACGGAAGAGATTATGCATCAATACATGTACATGTACCTACTACAAAATGTAATCAAATGTTTATGTATATGACTTTTATATTATAGTTTTTCATATTCCAAACTCATAAATACACAAGCAAGTATAATTATGTACAACATATGTACAAGACCAGGCTTGATCGTTGATGGAAAGAACATGATATGTCTCTCAATACTGAAATTAATTTATTAAGTCAAAATGCTACCTCTTGCCCCCCCCCCTGCCTTCCTGGTTTGTATATGATGAGAAGACATAAGCTAGAGTACAAGAAGATAAACCTGGAAGCTCGACTGCTGTCTCAGCATTCTTCCAGTATTTGCAGTAAAGGTAAAGTAAATAAGTGTCTTTTTTATAAGGCAAGTTGTTGCTATGGAAAGATGAAATCTCTAAATCGGCAGGCCCATTGGTTGTACGAGACCAGCTAGGAATCTCTGCAAGAACAAATTAGATTAATACAAGTGTTAAAGACGCATCGATATTGAAACAGGTATTTACAAAAACAAACTGATATTTGGATGACATTTGGTGAGTTAATCCAATCCAGAGCACCCATAGTCAGCCTAATTATTCAGTATACGGTCGTATATAATTCTACATCTGTAACATTTCTTTTTCAAATTTTATATAAAACAAAAATGACCAACTTACCTGGATTCCTAGCCATAATTCTAGTCCTGGTGGTTCTATGACAGAAATCAATAAATATAAGACATGATAAATCTGAGGAATTGTTTTTGGCGATAAAATCAATATCCAGAGTACTTTAGAAGACGAAAACATATATTTTCACACAAGTACACATGTTTTTATACAAGTCAGTTTTAACCTTCTGAACTCTTACACGGAACTCTAAAACTCCCTATATTCTATCATATTTTGTTTTCGTGTAACTGTGACACTTTACACTTTAGCTATGTTATATCAGTCCTACCCGTACGAGAGACCTACGGCATTTTAGTGTAATTAAGTTCTATTTACCCTTCTAAGGCACATGTTTAGAATGTTAAAGAACGCATATTCTGCAATTATGAAAGAAAAAACACGTATCAAGTAATTTAAAATAGAGTACGAATGATATTCGTCTTCCAGGGGAATGTTTAGTTGCATCTGGGCTTGAAAGTTGAAAGATGATTCCTAAATCTTGTCCAGATTAGTTATTGTCATAAGAATGTTGTAAAATTCTAAAGTTACCCTAGAAAGAAATGGCGCCTATGCAACAACCGTTGGAATCTCTTAGTGGCAATCGAGCCTAGAGGGACGTTTCCTTCCATGAAAGAGTCACTCAATGTACCTACCCCACAAAGATACCTGCAAGGATCAAAAAGAAAAAAAACAGAGAGAGTAGCAAATACAAATACAAAATGCAAAATACAAAGCTTATTGTTTTTAAAATTTCAGTTTTCATATCCGTTATGCCGCTTGTTCGCAATACCGTATGTGCAATATGATGTGCAATCACACGAGCTGCCTATTCATTATAGTTATAATCAATGTTTGCCATTTTGCTCAGCTGCTTGTTTTTTCTCGATCTATTGCATCATGAGGTTTATTTTTTTAATATATATCAATTTTTTTATTTTATTTTATTTTATTTATATTTTTATTCCTTAATTATTAGATTATGTTATTCATCACCTTCGTTACAATTATTTTAATTATATTTTATTCGATTGATTTTAAATCCGCTCTTCTTTTACTGTTTTTATTTGTATTGCGTCTCATTTTAAATTATATATATTTTGTATGTGATTTTAATCATGTACGCACGGACTTGCAGAAGAACAGCCATTGGCTGAAGCAAGTGATTCGTGTTGAAATAAAATAAAATGAAATACCTTCCTTGAAAGTTGCCAGCAATCTGCCGTTATCCGTTTGGGGGGGACGTTTCCTTCGTTGAAAGAGTCACTCATTGCACCTTCTCGATGAAGAAAGCTGCAAAGATCAAACACAATAACGAAGAGAGCAGAAACTTCTGAAAAAATAGATAACAAATATTATTCAAAAAATACCTCTATATTCTTACCTTCATTGAGAGTTGCAATCAAACAGCCATGGTCCTATGGGGGCGTTTCTCTGTCCGTCCGTCTTTCTCTCTCCCTCTCTCTTCTGAAAGCGTCACTCAATGTACCTGCCCCACGAATATAACTACAAAGATTAAATACTATAACAAAGTGAGCAGCACCTTCACAAAAATGAATCGTGATTAATAGTTAAGTGTCTCTTACCTTTGCATGGAGTGGCCACCAAGCAGTCGATGTCCGCTGTTGCTCTGGTAATGGTACTTTAGTTTCGAGGGAGTCTGTGAGTCTCCTCATCCATCAGCACAGCCACAGTCGATAGTTGAACCTCCTCGATGCCTCTAACCTAACCTAAATG